CGGGGGTAGTGGTGGGGTCGGGTCGCCTGGTGCTGGAGCGGACGAGGGGACCCTGCCCAGTCCAGCTGAGTCGCCGCCCCTGCAGTTGCAGCAGCCGCAGCAGCCGCCGCAGTCGCAGCCTTCGCAGCAGCCGCAGCAGCCGTCGCAGACGCGGCAGACGAGTGTTCTCCCGCCAGGGTGGCCCGGCGCTGGCGGTGGACGGGCGCGTGGTGGTGTGCCGCGAGGTGGCTCTTCCGGCGGGCGTTGTCAGTACCAGATCCAGACCGGTCCTCGCCGCGGTTTCGTTTGCGGTAAGATCGGTCACTCCACTCCCCGCTGCTTTCGTCGCCTGGACGACCTCTTTCGTCAGCGTTTCGGCCCGTCGCCAGACCTCCCGGACTGGCACAGTTTGCTTAGTCGTCAGATTCAGATCTTTGATATGGACATGGATGCCATTGTTTCTGCTCTGCACGTGATGTATGCTGATGACTCTAGTGTGCTTCCGACTTATTACTCACTGTTGCCTAGTGTAGGTGTGCCTAGCTTAGCCCCCCCTGCTGCGTCAGGCGTAGGATCCCCTGCTTTGTGTAGTCTTGGTGCTTCTGTCGTCGTTCCGTCGCCAGACCCCTCAGCTTCGCTTTCCTTCACCTTGGACTCTGGCGCCTCTCGGTGTTTCTTCCGCGACTCCACCACCCTGACGCCGCTTCCTGTTCCTGCTGCCGTTTCTCTTGCTGACCCCTCCGGCAGTCCGGTAGTCGCCCGCAGTTCCACCACCCTTCCCTGTCCGGCGTTTCCTTCGGGCTCTCTTACAGGTCTGCATATCCCCTCGTTCTCCAGGAACCTAGTTGGTGTCGGCTGCCTCCAGGACCTTGGCGTCACCACTACGTTCCCTGGCCACGAGCGGTATGCTGTCTGTACCGAGGCCGCCACTGGTGCCCCCCTGTCCACGTTCCCCCGGGACCCGGTGTCCGGCCTGTTCACTCTGGACACCGTGCCCCCCCCGGCTGGAGCGCCCCCTCAGGTGGCTGTGTCTACCCAGGTTGCTGCTGCCTGCTCCTGTCGCTCCCTCACTCACCCGACCCTCCTGTGGCACCACCGCCTAGGTCACCCTGCGCTCCCGCGTCTGCGTCACATGTCCCAGCACGGTCTTGTCCTTGGTCTCCCAGGTTCACTCTCCGCGTTTCCCTCCTCCCCAGCTCCACCTTGCACGCCTTGTGTCGAGGGTCGGCTTCGCCGTGCCCCTCACTCCTCCTCGTTCCCCCCTACCGTCGCGCCGCTGCAGACCCTGCACCTGGACGTCTGGGGCCCCGCCCCCGTCCCTGGGCCGCGCCGCGAGCGCTACTTCCTTGTGCTTGTCGACGACTTCACTCGTTACACCACACTCTTTCCCCTGGAGCGCAAGGCCGACGTGCCTGGCGCCCTCATCCCCTGGCTTGTCTCTGCGCGTGTCCACCGCGGTCTCCCTGTCTTGCGTCTTCACTCAGACCGTGGTGGCGAGTTTGCCTCAGGTGTCCTTGGTCGCTTTTGTCGTGCGGAGGGCATCACCCAGACGTTCACCCTACCGGACTCCCCACAGCAGAATGGGGTCGCTGAGCGACGCATCGGCTTGGTCATGGAGGTCGCTCGCACCTCCATGGTCCATGCCGGTGCACCCCATTTTCTGTGGCCGTTCGCTGTGCGCTACGCTTCTCACCAGCTTAACCTGTGGCCGCACCCTCAGCAGCCGCAGGTTTCGCCGACCCGTCTGTGGACTGGGTCTCCTGGTGACGCGTTTGCGTTCCACGTCTGGGGCTGCCTTGCTCACGTCCGTGCCTCCGGTACGGACAAGCTCACTGCCCGCACCCTTCCCTGCGTCTTCCTCGCTTTTCCCCTTGACGCGTCCGACTGGCACTTTTACCACCCCCCGTCTCACCGCTTCTTTCACTCTCGTGACGTCACCTTTGACGAGTCCGTCTCCTACTACCGCCGCTTCCCCCACCGTGGTCCCCCGGTTACCCCCCCCCTGTTCCTGGTCACCCCTTCCCCGGTAGTCCCTGCCCCTCCTCCTCCTCCTCCCCGTCCCGCCCCCTCTGGTGTCTCCCATGTCACCCCCCTTCCGTCCGTGGACCCGGTTGAGGAGTCTTCTGACTCTGGTGGCCCTCCGGTGCAGTCCTCGCCGGCGGCCCCTCCCCGGGTGTCCCCTCCCCAGTCCCCTCCTCCGCCGTCCCTGCCGCCACTGCAGCCGTCGCCGTCGCCGCCGCCGCCGCAGTCGCAGCCCCCGTTCGCTGACTCTGGGGGTGCTCGTCCCGGTCGCCCTGAGGGTGGTCCCTCTGGGGGTGCGGGTGTGGAGCGTGCCGGTGGTAGCCGAGGAGCAGCTTGCGGTCCAGGTGTCGCCGTTGTGCCGCCGCAGCAGCAGTCCCCGCCGGTGTCCGCCCTTCGCCTGCTCGGCCTTCCGTCCCCCGACCCTGCGTCAGTTCCTCCCCGATCGTCTCCTCCTCTTCCTGTCTACGGCCCTGTTTTCCCTCCGCCGGACTCGTCCCCGGCCCGTCTCCCCCCTCGTTCACCTCCTGTGTCCCCTCCCCTGTCTCCTGACCCGACTCCTCCATCGCACGTCTGGTCTCACCGTCCCTCCCGTGCTCGTCCTGCCTCGCCTGTCCTGCGCTCCCACCCTATGTTGCTTCGTTCACACGCGTCTCGTCCTCCCCTTCTGCCGTCGCCTCCTCCGTCCTCCCTTGTTGTTTTGCCCCCCCCGCTGTCCGACTACCTTCGTGCCGCTCGTCCCCTCGTTCCTCGGGTCCTTGCCTCTCTCGTTACCGACCCGTCTGTTCCAGTCTCGTGCCTTGACGCTCTTGTCGCTGCTGTCGCTGACTTCGCCTCTACCCGCCGCCTTGACTACGCCACCGCTCTGGTCTCTGACCCTACCTGTCCTCCGTCTGTCGGGGGTGCTCCTGCCCTTGGCAGTGACGTCCTGGAGGACCGCCAGTTCGAGCTTGCTTTCCTCTCCGAGGCTGCTCCCCATCTCTGTTCCATGCTGCTAGTCCCTGAGGGTGACCCAGACGCTTTCGACATCCCGACCCCTCGCACTTACGCTGAGGCGACCTCGGGACCTTGGGCCTCGCAGTGGATAGCTGCCATGGAGCAGGAGATGGCATCTTGGAGATCCACCGGCACCTTCGTCGACGCAGTTCCCCCACCTGGGGTGAACGTAGTCGATGGCCGCTGGCTCTTCAAGGTGAAGCGCCCTCCTGGAGAGCCGCCTGTCTTCAAGGCGCGCTATGTGGCTAGAGGCTTCAGTCAGCGCGAGGGGGTGGACTTCTTCCAGACTTTCGCTCCGACCCCGAAGATGACTACTCTTCGGGTTCTGTTACACCTAGCTGCTCAGCGTGACTACGAGCTTCACTCTCTCGACTTCTCCACTGCCTTCCTTCAAGGCAGCCTACACGAGCAGGTCTACCTGCGCCGCCCTCCGGGCTTTACTGGCACCTTCCCTCCTGGGACCCAGTGGCTCCTGCGGCGCCCCGTCTACGGCCTGCGCCAGGCTCCCCGTGAGTGGCACGACACTCTGCGTGCTACGCTTGCTGACCTGCAGTTCTTTCCGTCTTCTGCAGACCCTTCACTCTTCGTTCGTGCTGGCCAGACTCCGTTCTACATCCTCGTCTACGTCGACGACCTGGTCTTTGCCACAGCAGACAGGGACGCGCTGGCCTCCGTGAAGGCAGAGCTGCTGAAGAGACACACCTGCACTGACCTTGGAGAACTGCGCCGTTACCTTTGCTTCCAGATCTCCAGGGACAGAGCTGCGCGCACCATCACCCTGACTCAGTCACACTTGGTGCGCCAGGTCCTTCAGAGGTTCAGCCTTCAGTTCTCCTCTGCACAGCCCACCCCTCTGCCTGTAGACCACAGGCTCTCCGCTCCAGTGCCTGAGGAGTTGGTAGAGCCCAGCGGCCCCTACGCAGAGCTGGTGGGTTGCCTCATGTACCTGATGACTTGCACTCGCCCAGATCTCGCATACCCTCTCAGCATCCTGGCTCGCTTTGTGGCCACAGGCAGACACCGACCGCAGCACTGGTCTGCCGCTAAGAGGGTTCTGCGTTATCTTGCTAGTACATCGGGCATGGGGTTAGTGCTAGGAGGACGCAGGCCAGCGGTCCTTACTGGGCACACAGACGCTTCGTGGGCAGACGACGCTGAGACACTCCGGTCTACCCAGGGCTACTGCTTCAGCCTTGGCTCAGGTGCCGTCTCGTGGAGAGCTACTCGCTCCTCGTCTGTTGCACAGTCCAGCTGTGAGGCTGAGATCTACGCCGGTGCCATGGCGGCACAGGAGCTCCGCTGGCTGACCTTCTTGCTCACTGACTTAGGTGAGCGACCTAGCTCTGCCCCGGTCCTGTTCGCTGACAACAGGGCCATGATCCTCCTGTGTCAGGAGCCTCGACTCGAGGGCAGAGCGAAGCACATTCAGCTGCGGTACTTCCTCCTGCGTGAGCTACAGCAGCGACGTCAGGCTCGCGTAGTACACTTGGCCTCAGGTGCCAACACGGCTGATATCTTTACGAAGGCGCTTGCGCCTAAAGATCATCAGCGGCACTGTGTACAGCTTGGTCTAGTTCCTGTAGCCTCTCACTTGCTAGGACCTTGACTTTGTACTGTCCTTTATATGTATACTCAGACTGGACTTGTGTCCTCTCCCAGTGGCTGGACTAGTAGTGCCGCCCTGCTCTTTGCTTGCCTTGTCTGTACTCCTTCTGACTGGTCGCTCAGACCATTGTCTCAGAGGTTGGACTAGTAGTGCCGCCCTGAGCTGTTTGTTTAGGACTTTCCCCTATGCAGTCTAGGGGGTGTGTCAAACATGTCTATTTGTTATGTTTGTATAGACTGTATAGGGTAGCCTCTTAGAGGGTACAACACTTAGCTATATTGTGTGTACTCTCCCTCTATCACCATCATTCAATTTTCTGATAGGTACAACCCAAACGTTATATCTCCCGTGTTCTCCCTTCTATTCATTCTTTCTAGTCTTAACAATACAAATATGTTTGATAAGAGGTTACTATACAAAACCACCATGTTTGACTCACTCTAGTCAACATTTCTAACTTTGATCATATGTAGCAAATACGTGGCTTCGCAAAGACAGATTTCATCTGGTCAATCTTCCAACAAACGAATCAGAGTTGCAAATTTTGGGTCTCTCAACATTTGAACAGAAGCCCCTTAGGACGATCTAGCTTTTTGGAGTCTGACCGCTTTAGGGAGAGAACCTTCCCATGGTGCTTCTCCTTCCAGTTTTCTGTTCCCTTTCCAGCACTTGTACTCCCAATTCCTTTTCCTCCTCCCATAGGAGCAACCTTGCTCTTGAATGCTGCAGCCAGGTCAAAGTCAGGCTTCATTTAACAGTCAGACTACCTGAATGGTATTCCCATGGTTAGCCAGCTCACCTGAAGAAAAAGGCTGTGCGGGCTGCATGCAGGCTTCAATCTTATGCTGCAAAAGGACGTACGCTACTCTGTTGAACAGCCATGGGACGTTGTCACCTGCAACATCTAACGTCGTTGTAGCGAGAAAAGAGAAGGATATGAACGTTTGCTCAAAAGAAGGAACCGTTTGAAGGGCTGACCTGATTTAGCACTGACTTCGAAGTATTCTGCATTCAATTCCTGTGCTACCTTCAACCCCTGGTCATGTTTCACCGCGTGGAACATGTCCGCCTGCAGAATAGGCTTAGGTAAGCATCAACTAAGGATATCGCAACGAGATTTGTTTGATGAACATACCTTGCAGCCGACTAGAAAGAACAGCACTTGTTGACCCTGGTTGTGCTTGGTGACCTCACTGGCCCACTGCTCGGACGTGAATGAAGTGTAAGACATCAATAACCACGACAAGAACCGAATGAGGGAAAACCAGAAAGCGAATCCTGACCTTCTTCATCTTGTTAAATGTGTTAGGATCGCCCAGGTCGAAAGCCAGTATGCACGCATGAGCACCTCGGTAATAGGTTGAGGAAATTGCACGAAAACGCTCTTGGCCTGCCGTATCCCATCTGCAGTGGCGTGGCAGTCAGAAAGTGCAGTACAAACGTGTGACGAAATAGCCAGCAGAGCGACGTACATGTTCAGCGTGAACTCATAGTCTCTGTGCTTGTACTTTTGCCAAAAGAAGTCGACACCGATGGTGGACTGCGAGGACGACCAGCAGCATCAGTGATGATCAAGTATGAACAACGATAGCACATGACGTCTCTTACCTTGTAGTCTTCAGAATAACCCCCGGCACAGTATTTCATAATGAGGTTCGTCTTTCCCACGCTGGATTCTCCCACAACAATAACCTTATCAGCCCAATCCCTAGACCGAATCCTGCTGTAAAACCGTTAGCTCGAGCGAGAAGAAAAGCTGTGCCTTTGTGTTGAGTTGAGTGCGTACCTATTTCGAGCGTCTTGCTGCTCGGAAGATGGAAGTGGTCTCGGAAGGAGGTCGACCCTGCGATGGGGTATGTGGTCAGCGAAACAACCAAAAGACGAGAATGCAAAAAAAGAGTTGCTGCACTGGATTTCACGAACCCGTTATGTTCTGGAGGAGGGACCCCGTCATCGAGAGATATTGCAGGCCTAGCAGCAGAGGATCGCTTAGTGACGTCTACCCGTCTTGCCATTGTTGGCTCGGAAAGCACACTATTCTGAGAGTTTCGTTGTCTTCAAGGTGAACTAGCCTGCCTAAACTGCCTCGTTCGCTGATGTGCGGGGCGCAGTCCGTTCCCTATGATGAGTGGGGATATGTCCCGTACAAGGCGATAAGAAACTTCAGTTTCACCTCCCTTGTAAAACTTGTATGCATAAACTTGTGCGACCGTTCAAAGAGTTCAAATAAAGGTTTGTACGATATTGCAAAAATTACTGTGAAAAAATACTTGTGAACGTATTCAACTCTTATAATTCACTTCTATATACAACCCCGTCTAACCTCTTCCAATCGCCCCCAATATAGACGAATTTGTTGTTAGCTATCATCATATATCAGCTATCTTTTTGGAATCGTAATATTCTGTGTTGTTCATTGCTGTACCAAGAAAACTTAATCCATTATGGTTTATGGAAACCTGCAACGAAGTGGGTATTTCGGTTAATAACGAAAATTTCTCCGCTATTGAGTTGTCTGTGTTTTGCACATCCCTAACCGGGCATGAAAATGCTAAGATTCTGGAAGGTCGGTGAACAATTCCTCCACGATGAGTCACTGTGGTCCTGGGTTTCATCCTGACATGGCACTCGCTTCGTCACAGACGACCTCAAGTGAGGTGGCAACACCTTGGCGGCCCCCAGCTTGGCCCTGACAGAACCAAGCTGCATCGCCACGATGCCAAAAGAAGCAGGTGCGTTGCTTCCATCCTAAGGGTGAGCAGCACGAGCAAGCAGAGGGTTACAAATTCAAGTCAAATTATCAGTCTGTCGAGGACATTTGCTAGCTCCATCCTTGTTTCACATAGACTTCGTTATGGCTTCCCAACGGCTTGAGGTTTTGAAAGGGCATCTTTGCGCTCCCGTGAGCCATGCTGAGCATGGCGTTTCCGCGAGCCGGACTTCATCGCAAAGCGGAGGAGTTTGGGGTGCTGTGGCTCAAGCTCCAGAAGACCCTATTCTTGGTGTACGTCAATGGTGTCTGCTACGCTCTCTTCTGAAATCTCGATTCCGTGTTGACTCATAAAATTATCATTCCGTCCATATCCAGGTAACCGTGGCTTACCAAAAGGATCCGAGCCCGCTAAAGGTCAACCTTGGGGTTGGCGCTTACCGCACTGAGGTATGCATGACGAATCACTCGACGCCCCAAGTAATTTCCTACTTTTCGCCGAAGCTCATACGGTCCAAGATTTTTCTGTTTTTTTCTCTCAGGAGGGGAAGCCGTTGGTGCTTGATGTTGTGCATCGTGCAGAGCTGATGATGCTTGCAGACAGGTAGTCCCTTTTTATATTCGGGTAGTGCTACGTTTTTTTTGTCTCCTTCTGCTCACCTCCCTTCTCTCCCTGCTCAGGACCCTGAATCACGAATATCTTCCTATCGCTGGCCTTCCAGCATTCAACAAGCTGACAGCGAAGCTGATTCTTGGTGCTAACAGGTAAAGGACTGCTTCTAGAAGGCAAAAAACGCTGCTTTCGCGTAAAACTGACGTTTTGAGGGTTGTCTTTGTGCAGTCGTGCCATTGCGGAAAATAGGATTGCTACTGTGCAGTGCCTTTCCGGGACGGGATCTCTACGAGTGGGTGCAGAGTTTATCAATGCACACTACCCCTTCGTAAGCAATCCATTTCAGCCGTCTCGAAGGAAACTCGTGTGTGTGTATCCACTGACGAGCTGAGTGTGCTGTTGGCCGCGTTGTCCAGAACAAATGCGTTTACCTGCCGTCACCCACCTGGGGGAATCACAACAAGATTTTTCCTTCTGGTGGGGTGGCTGTCAAGCCGTACCGATATTATCATAAGGGGACTCGTGGACTGGATTTCGAAGGTGAGTTTTAGTGACAACCCTTTGTCCTAACGTGTCAAAAGGTTCTTTCCTGAGGTCGTCATGTGCTTGTCGTTACTCCTTGCAGGAATGTGCCAGGACCTTTATGCTGCCCCGGATCGTAGCATCGTCCTTCTCCATGCTTGTGCGCACAACCCGACTGGTGTTGACCCCACGAAGGAGCAATGGGATATGATCCGCAAGGTTATCCGAGCAAAATGCCACTTGCCTTTCTTTGACAGCGCGTACCAGGTAAGAATCTCCGAATTGGTAAAATCGAGGTCGAAGCAAGCTGATGAATAAGAGCTAAAAACGATCGTTGTCGCTAATGTAACAGGGATTTGCTAGTGGAAGCCTGGACGAGGACGCCCGTGCTGTGAGGATTTTTGCGGACGATGGTGGAGAGTGCATGATTGCTCAGAGCTATGCCAAGAACCTCGGACTCTATGGTGAACGCATTGGGGCATTGAGCATGGTGAGTGTGCATTTTGTTGAGCGTATACATTGGATCTTTGTAGGTTCTCTTACCAGTAACGACCTCATGAACGCCGTTCTTCTCGCGTTGGCAGATTTGTGCATGTCCCAAGGCTGCATCAAAGGTTGAGAGCCAGCTCAAGATGGTGATCAGGCCGATGTACTCCAGCCCTCCAGCCCATGGAGCTCGCATTGTTGCAGCTGTTCTTTCTGACAAGTAATTTGTGTCATTAGCAAGTTCTATTTCTAAGCAAAGCATGTTGCATGTAGGTGCGGTGTTGATTCTGGCCACCATGAATTGCAGGGACTTGTTCAACGAGTGGACCCTGGAACTGAAAGGGATGGCTGACCGAATTATCAGCATGAGGCAGCAACTGTATGCTGCACTGCAGCAGAGGAGTGAGTTCCGTCCCCTTCTTGGTTTGGACTTTTCTTATGGAGTTGCAGGCGCTTATCCCTGTCTTGAAATGCATGGCAGGGACTCCTGGTGACTGGACTCACATACTGAAGCAGATTGGGATGTTTACGTTCACAGGCCTGTCAAAGGAGCAGGTATATAGCACGCCTCTTATTCTTGCAGTTGCACTTTTGGCTATTTTTTGCACTATTGATTGGTTCCCTGACATAATTTCGTCTGTTCTCCTGTAGGTTGCTTTCATGACTCGAGAGTACCACATTTACATGACCTCTGATGGGTATGTGGACTACATGGCTCCTATGAGTTTCTTTTGTCCCCAGCATTCGGGCTAACATGTCTTTCAATTGTATTCACAGGCGTATCAGCATGGCTGGTCTCGGCTCAAAGACTGTCCCCCAACTTGCAGATGCAATCCATGCTGCTGTTCACAAGTTTGGGATGTGATTTACATTCCATCATTGTCGTGTGCATAACCACTGCCTCCTTTCCCGTTATAGCTGTAGATAGATGCTGTTTGTGAGCTTGCTTTATTGCCTACCTGTGAAACATACCTGTTGCTGAAATTCCATGTCGCAATTCCATGCTTGGTTGAAGTGAAAGTTATGTTTTGAGAACTGCATATATCTGTAGTAACACGTTGGGGGCATTGAGGTATGTGTGCTCGTGTACAGGCAATATATCGAGGGGGTGCTCAGTAGAGCGTTATTGGGAGGGAGCTTCATGAACGAGGCAGAGGTGTTCTTGGCCAGTGTCAAGGCATATGTTTCACGCGCACATACCCAATCGTCATAAGTTCCGGGTTTCGGGCACCCTTGAATCCTTTTTCGGTCCTCAGGGCGATTCCGCAGCGAGTGTCAGACCCGAGGTCGACCTCCGGCCGAAGGAGCCGCGGGCTGTCACAACCTAACTGCGGGTTTATTTTTCTTGACAGTGCAGCGGCTGCATAGTCGCGAACAGTCGCGAGGGGAGGGTTGCGACTAAACTGGCCGAACTTTTTGAGTCAACCTGAAAATTTCGAAAGTTATGATTGGTGGAATCTCATTTGCGCGACTTTGATAGTTGCTCGGTTTTTCGCAAGACCCAAGGCATTTTTTTTCCAGCCTCGGATCTTCCCGCTAAACCCTCGGGTCTTACACTCGCTGCGGAAATAACCCTAGCTCAAAAGGCAATGTGAGCAATGAAGCAACGTGACAAACGGTTGTGTTTCAATCGCCCTTCAATTCTGAATGTCGAGCAAACGGTATATTATTTGGGATCGTTCCCAACCAATGATCGGAACATCGGTTCGGAGAAATGGACAATAGAGATTGCCTCAGCATGTTCAAGATTGCCTCCCTTGATTTACCAGACACCAAGTGTTTCGGCCAAGGAGGAATCCTGCAAGTGGAAACCAAGAAGCAGGGAAAACCAAAGTAGGGCTGCTGGGACCTTGCATACATCATCCACCCCCTCCACCCCACTCAGTAGAGCAACAACCCTCAAAGGTGTTGTGGATCTGGAGCTGTATCATGGTGATGACGCGATCGACCTACGATGAGTACCCTAAGAAATTTATTTTTTGACAATATTGCCTGTTCCGTTCCGTGTTTCCCATTGGAGGGGCACTACGACCGACAAATGCCCAAGTTTGAATCCTTCAGAGCAGCCAAGGAAAGGAAGTCGACCTCTCCCAAGTGCCGCCAAAGGAGGGGCCCCTTTTGGGTTTTTAGATTACCGGTAACCCTTACTAGCGTTTTACTCTTTGGGATCACGTTTAGCCCCTATTACGGAAGGGTTTCTCGCCGATCAAACCCCCCAGGGACAGTTTTTTGTTCTTTGAGGTTAGTTCTCTCCACAGCGAACCACGTGTAACAATCTCCTTCATCTTGGGCAGAGGGCAGAAACAATAAAACCCTTATGGGCCTGGCATGGCATTCTGGATGGCATCAACCCTAAACTCGCAAAAGTGCCACGAATTTAGGGTTGATGCCCACCAGAATGGCATACTCGCCCCTATGGGTTTTAGTTTTTTTCTTGCCAGCTAGCCTGCCCGAATGTTGTCAGCCATTTTCAGTAGCACTACAGATCCCACAATATCGCAGGAAAACAGAGTTCAGTAGCCCCAAAGTGACGGAGCAAGGAGATTGTGACGCGTGGTCTTCTGTGGTGCGAACTAACCTCAAAGAACAAAAAACTGGCCCTGGAGGGTTGGAACAATGAGAAACCCTTCCGTGAAAGGGCTAAATGTTACTCAAAAGAGTAAAACTCCAGTAAGGGTTACCGCTAACCTAAAAACCCGGCCCCTTTTGCCTCACTGGCTGTACAGCACAGTTACGAGATGTTTGGTTGAGGTGAGGTGCAAAAATTACCAATGGGCAAGTCGCGAATGAACAGTCAAGCAGCATCGTGCCACAGGCCACTGTTGTTAGGTGGACGGAAGCTGTAGGGCACGCTAGACCCAAACCAACCCAACCCAGACCAACCCCACCGAACCCAACCTAAACCGCGGGGAGATTCGTCAAGCCAAGCAGAGAAGAAATGACAGGGCAAGCCAAGCAATCCATATTCTCGTCAGGCTTGCCCCGAGTTCGTTCGGAGTTCGGTCATCTTGTTCGGGTTCGGAACAAACAACAACGAGGAGACCAAGGCTTCTTGTTATGGTTGAGTCATTTGGTGTTCCCCCCCTACCAAAGACAATCCGCCAGGGCACCGACTCTTTGGCAGCCAGCCAGAGTTGTATGTGGTGAACGCAAATGGTTGTGTTACGTCCACCAAATCCTTCTGTTTTAGATGTTACAGTCCACTGGTGCGCGCGAACCCCCTCCACATTCCTGATCATGTTTCCCCGTTCGGTCCCAACATGACGAGTTAGTAGGTTAGGGCACATTCCCCCGCAGTGCAGAACATGTGCTGCTGGCTTCGGGTATCTCCTCGGCACACGGACACGGCTCACGATCTACGACCTCAATACCCTAGAAGTCCTTAATGTCGCGCTTCGCGCATCTCCTTATTCATATCGCGGTATTCTACCGCGAGCCATGAGCATGCACGAGTCACGCTCTCTTCTCCGCAACGCCCTTGCTGGCGTCGACGCAGCGCGCCGAGCAGAGCTGGTGGAGTGGGCGGACCAGGGCTCGGGGAACTGGGAATCGGATGCGCAAGATGCGGGCGTACGTGAATCGTCAGCGCAATCGGCGGCAGCGCAGTCGGGAGCGCAATCCGTGTCGCGGGTTCCGCACGACATTGGCGGCAGTAGGCTTCGCCCCGCAACATGCGAGAGCGCCAGCACCGGCGACAGGCGGCAGTGGGCGGGCGGGGGAATAGGGAAGAGCGCATCCGCGCTTGACGCGCACGATGTAGTAGTCGCCACGCGGAGCTTCTCCCCCCCGGACATAGACTCGATCCGCCAGGCGGAAGACTCATTCCCCCACATTGCCCCCCCGCGCTCACCCCGCGCAACCCGCGGACTGGGGGAGAGGAGCATGACTGAGCGGGCGTTGCGGGGAAGGGGCGCGCCGGCGGCCGCGCTAAGTAGTAGCATGCAACGGTCTGCTACTCTTGCGCGGTACCTACAGGACCGGAGCTTTCGAGAGCACGTACGGCAGCGAATAGGCACGTGGGTGCTAGAGCAGGGTGGCGCGACGGCTACGACGGCTGCGACAGCTGCGACAGCTGCGACGGCTGCGTCGACGGCGACGACGGCGGCGACGGCGGCGACTTTCGGCGATCTCCGGCGCCAGCAGCATGCCCTCGACCTGCTGCGGATTCGCTTGCTGCAGCAGCGGCAGGCGACGAGCCGGGGATGGGGGGAGGAGGGGGTGGACCAAGGGGGCGGAAGGGAGGGGGAGGAGGGGGAGGAGGGGAAGGAGGGGGAGGAGGGGGAGGAGGAGGAGGAGGAGGGGCCAGAGCTCGTGCGAACGAAAACAATGCGTCGCAGCCTGTCGCTTCCCGAGTCTGAGTTTGACGAGCTGGAGTCGTCGGCTCTAGTCGCACGCGCCGGCGGCGGCGGCCGGTACTTCGTCGATCGGGACGGCATGGATGGCGGCAGGCTCAACGGCGGCGGCGGCGGCGGCGGCGGCGGCGGCGCAGTTCCCGAGGTGCGCCTGCTCCGCAGAGGCGTTGATCCGTCGCTGTTTCTATCGCGCACGGGAAGGTGGGAGGTGGAGGCGCAAGCGGCGCTGAGGGGCCTCCGCCTACCGCGCAAGGGCTCCGCGCTGATTCCCGCGGAAAGTGCGGGCCCCGCACACCCAAATGCGCGCTCGGACGGCAAGGGAGCAAGGAATGGCTGCGGGTTAGGGGGAAGACTTGAGGCGGGGGAATCCTGGGACGGCATGCGGGGAGAGGGCGCGGGCAGCGCCGATGTAGCGCGCGCGGGGAGCGCGGAAGAGCGGATGGCAGACGTCCAGGGCCCGTCCGTGGGGAGGATGTCGCGGAGTGCTGGGGGGAGTGCAGGCGGTGTTGCCAGGGGGGCGGGCGGGGGAGACGTCAGGCGGGAAAGGGAGTTATTAGGGGGGACTTCCGCCGTGGCTCCACTTTCCCCTAGAGGCTACATTGCAGTGCGTGATAACATCGAATGCGCCACTGGGGGAAGACAGGCGGAAGCCGCCTCCAAGGGGGGAGGTCTTGGGCTCTTGGGGGGGATGGGGGGCCAAAGCGCGCGCCCCCCTAGCAGCAGCGGCGGAATGGGCGCAATTCCGCTTCTTTCCGCCATGCCCAAGTCGCTGAGCATGCCTGTGAGACGCTTGATGCCTCTCCCGTTCAGCCTCAGGCAAGTGGCCGCTGCTGCTGCCGCAGCCACAGCAACAGGCGTTCAGCAGCAGCAGCAGCAGCAGCAGCAGCAGCAGCAGCAGCAGCAGCAGCAGCAGCAGCAGCAGCAGCAGCAGCAGCAGCAGCAGCAGCAGCAGCAGCAGCAGCAGCAGCAGCAGCAGCAGCAGCAGCAGCAGCAGCAGCAGCAGCAGCAGCATCAGATGGAGTTATTGCAGGATGCTTTGAGTGCAGCACGTGCAGACGCGGCAGCACCGGTGCGAGGAAGAGGAGGAGGAGGGTCAGTAGAGAAAGCACCGTGGGAAGGAGGGCCAAGCCGGCTCTTTGGATCTGAAGTGGGAGCAGTGGTGGGCGGTGGGGGAGGAGGAGGGCAAGGAGGAGCAAGAAGGGGAACAAGTGGCGGTGGAGAAACGGATTCATTCTTGCTTCCTTCCTCTTTTACTGGGGATAGTATGGCAATGCGGCACCAGCGGCCATGTGACCCTGTAACTCGCCCCGTGCCTCCCAATTCAGCGAGGCTTGGTGACCGGACCTTATCTGGGCGAAGGTATACGCTGCCTGAGAGTGCAGCCGCTGCCACTGCCACTGCTGGTGCTGCTGCTGCTGGCGCTGGTGTTGCTGCTGCTGCTGCTGCTGCTGGCGCTGGTGCAGCTGGTACTGCAGGCAGAGGAGGGGAAGCAGGGTTGGGCGGAGGAGGGCGAGGCGAGGCGGATCCTGTGTCTGTGAAGATGGCAGTGATGATGGAACGGCTGATGGCAGGCCGAGGGCTGCCTCGGGTCGATGGAGGGGTTGCGGTGCTAGCAGGAGGGGGAGGAGGTGGTGGCGGCGGCGGCGGCGGTGCTGCTGCAGCTGCAGCTGCAGCAGCAGCAGCAGCAGCATCAGGTGCATTGTCAGATCGGGCGTTTGCTTCGTCCTCGTCCAGGCGTGTCGCTGCGATGGAGGGGCCTTCGTCAGCGTCGTCATCGGTATCATCAGCAGCATCGGCAGCTGCAGATGCGGCGGGAGCAGCCCAGCCATCCGTGTTGGACCGTGCTGCTTCCAGCAGGCGATATGGGCAGGTGCATGCACTGGGCCCTCCTGGCCTAGGCGCCAGTGACGTGGCAGCAGCAGCAGCAGCAGCAGCAGCAGCAGGAGCAGGATCAGGAGCAGAGGGTGGCAGGATGCTGCAGAAGCCGTTTGAGCGATCTGTCTCCGCGCGGCGGTTCACAGAGTTGGACGAGTCACTGAGGGGGGCAGGCAGCAGGCAGAGTGCAGGGTTGTTGAATGGCAATAGGACACTGAATGGCACCGGGCCGTTGAATGGCAACGGGCTGTACTGGATGGACCTCACCAGACGCATCACAGATGAGCGGGTGGAAAGGCGGGGTGATGGTTCTGGTGCTGGTCCTGGTGCTGGTCCTGGTGCTGGTCCTGGTGCTGGTGGGGAGTTGCCGTCTCTGCGTGTCTTGCTATCGCCGAGATCACAGCAGCATCAGAATCCTGGAGATCCTGGCCATTCGTTCCGTTCTAGTCGCCAGTACGATCAGCAGCACCAGCAGGGATTGCACTACCAGCGTCTCGATTTCCCCCATGCCCCTCAGCAGCAGCAGCAGCAGCAGATGGGACAGCAGATGCGGCAGCAGATGCAGCAGCAGATGCAGCTTTGGCAACTCCAGCAGCAGAAGCAGCAGCAGCAGCAGCAGAGGCGGCCCACTCCCCTGCCCGGACCCGTCCCTGGCTCCACACCGGGACGCCTGTCCCGCGCTCGCACGCTGTCCAAGGCAAAGAGCGAGCCCCGAGGCCACCTCAACGACGTCCCTGTGCCACTCTACCCCTCCATGACCCCTCCCTCCGTTGCCCTCCCTCCCCTCCCCGCCTCTCGCTTCACCTCCCACCTTCCCGCCAGCTGCTCTGCCTCGGGTGTGAGGCCTGCAGGCCGGATGGACATGAGGAACAACAGCGGCATTAACAGTCTCGGTATGAGTGTCAGTACGAGTGAGGCCCCCCATGCTGTGGCACTAGCAGGTGAGGGGCCCATGCCATTGCCAGCCCCTGCTGCTGGCTCCGCTATCCAGCTCAGTCGCCGCAATTCTGGATTTGTGGTGCCGCAGATCGCCATTCCTGGCTCCAACAGCAACGACGCTGATTCCCCTTCCGCCCTTGTGGTCCCGCTCCCCCACTCTGGTCCCGCTGATGCTGCTGCTGCTGGTGCGGCCGCTTCTGCCGCTGCTGCTGCTGCTGCTGCTGCTGCTGCTGCTGCTGCTGTTAGCATCGCTGCTACTTCGTCTTCTTCTTCCTCTTCTTCGTCGACTGCTGCTGCTGCTGCCAGTGTGGCAGCAGCAGGGATGGGACGAGCATCACGCACAGCAGCGGCAGGAGCAAAGGCAGGCATGCACGGCCGCAGCAGCGCCAGTGCGAGGGGTGGACCAGGAGTGGCAGCAGCAGGCTTGGGCGCAGCAGCAGGTGCCGGCTTGGGGCCAGCAGCAGCAGTAGCAGGAGTAGCAGGAGGAGGTATGGGGCGGGCGGGTGCAGGCAGGTCTGCGCTCTCTGCCTCTCGCTCCCTGCGCAAGTCGCAGAGTGCCCCTCGCAGTGCCATGGATGCGGATGCCGACGCTGCTCTCCTGCTCGCCTCCTCTGGCAACCTCCCCTGGACCCACAGTCCTCTGGCGTTCAAGCCTGCTGCTGCTGCTGCTGGTGATGCTGCTCCTGGTGGAGCAACTGCAGCGGCAGCCGCCGCAGCAGCAGCGGCAGTACAACGATCTGCCATGCAGGAACAGAGACAGCAACAGCAGCAGCAGCAGCAGCAGCAGCAAGTCCAGCAGAGCAGCTCGTCTCTTCCCCGTCCCCGCCCTGCCCTGCGCATCACTGTGCCCTCCTCTGCCTCCGAACTCCCTCTTGCTGGTGCCACTGCAGTGGTTCCCTTTGCCAGAGTGCGAGTGTCTCAAATGTCCCCCAGACTGCCCTCTGCTGGCCTGCCCCCTCTCTCCCCTGGCCCGAACTCCGCCCGACGCCTCTTCCTCTCCCATTCCTTCTCCTCGTCTGCTGCTGCTGCGGCTGCTGCTGCTGGTGATGGTGCTGATGCTGGTGGTGGTTCGTCGGCCACTGCAGTTGGGGGGAACACAAGGGAACCAGGTGTATCTGGCACGGCTGCATCTGGTGCAGGCACAGCTGCAATGGGCATGAGGAGAGCAGATGGAAAGGCGGCTCTGAGGGAGAGGCGCGGCCTCCCTGGGGCGACCTCCGTTGCTGCTGCTGCTGCTGCTGCTGGTGCGTCTGCTGCTGGTGTGGGTGCCTCTACTGCGCCCTTGTCACGCCATCTACGTCGTACTGTGACAGACCCAATGGAGAGAGAGAGGGAGAGAGGAGGGAAGGAGAGTAGAAGAGCCGGTGGTGCAGCTGCCGCTGGTGCTGGTGGTGGTGGTGGTGGATCTCGGGACTGGAGGGGTGTGAACAGACATGCTGCTGGGGTTGGTGTTTCTTCTGCTGCTTCTGCTGCTGCTGCAGCCGCCAATGCTGCTGCTGCACGTGTGGATGTGGAAGGCAGCGTGACATGGTTGGACAGAGCGGGCTCGAAAACAGCCGTGGCAGCTGCTGCAGGTGTGGCAGGCGTGGTGGGCATGGGGAGCACGGAGGCAAGGCAAGAGGTATGTGTGGCCTCCCTATCTGCCCCTCTGCCTGGGACTGTTGAGGCGACTCGCAAGCTCTCTGGCTTTCCAGCTGCACCCGTGGTTGCTTCTGCTGCTGCTAATGTCAGAACAGCAGCCAGTGCAACATCTAGAGCAGCAGCAGAAGTAGAAGAAGCCGCAGCAGCAGAGGCAGCCATGGACGGGGTGGGAGGTGCAGTGATGGCATGGGCAGTGCGTGCAGTGCAGAGCGGTGTGGCGCCTCCCCCCCCTGCTGCTGTTCGCCGTGCTGCCTCGTTGCGGTCAAAGCGCTCCAGGCATGGCACACAGCGCCACAATGGATGTGCAGAAGCGGCACCTGCCGCTGCTGCCACTGCAACCGCCGCACCAGGGGGGTGGAAGGAACAAGGCCGGAAAGGCGGAGCAGAAGCAACAGCAGCAGGAGGAGGAGTGGCAGCAGTGTCTGAAGGCGTGAGTGCGTGGGTGGGGAGCGTGACAGAAGGTGTTGGCACGGGGCTAGCACGGGACAGGGTGCCGGCATGCGCGCGGTTGCACGACGACGAGGGCCCGTGCTGCGATGAGACGCTACTGCAGGAGATGCAGCTCCCCCTGTTCTTCCACTCCGGGCCCCCTCTACAGCACGTGCTCGCCCTTGGCTTGCCTCCTGGCGCCCTGCTGCCATACGCCACTGCAGCTGTAGGAGAAGCAGGAGCAGGAGAGAGCATGGGGGGAGGAGGAGAGTGGGAAAAGGCTGACGGGGGAGGAGGTTCTGGGGTTTCAGCACTGGAGGCAGATGGGGGTTTTGTTAGCCGAACAGAGGCAGCGCACGCGGGCAGTACAGGTGAGGAGGGTCTTACCACCACCAGCACCACCACCAGCACCATCAGCAGCACCATCAGCAGCACCAGCAGCAGGAGGCCGTACGCTCAGCGTGTGTTCCGCACGGCCCGCTTCCCTCTCTCTCTCGGCGCAGTCGTGTCCGCCCTGTCAGACCACATGAGCCCTTTGGCTCCCCCCGGCTCCAATCTCGCCCTCACCGCTGCCACTGCCGCTGCGGCCGCCGTTGCAGCCGCTTCTGCCTCTGGTGTGACAGCTGCTCCTGTCTCCTCCTCCTCCCCTGTGCCCGTCGCCTCTCCCTGGAAACCCACCACTCCCCAGTTCTCGGAATCCGCTCCGCAGCCTGAGCCCCCTGCAGCCCCTGCTGCTGCTGCTGCTACTGGCACCGCTGCTGCTGCCGCTGCTGCTCCTGCTGCTGCACAGTCCAGAGCAGAGCAGGACATATTTCTGCCACTGGGTGCGCATGCGGCTGTGGCTGCTGCTGCACAACCCACAGTAGGCAGGGTGGCCGGAATAGGGAGAGGAGTGGCAGTCAAGGGTGCGAGAGTGGTGGAGAGAAATGTACCCATGCAGGTGGAAACAGTTAAAGGCAGCAGTTCTGCTGCTATCTCTGCCTCTGCTCCTTCGTCTTCTTCTGCTGCTGCTGCTGCTGCTGCTGGTATTCGAGTGGGAGCAGGAGACGCAGCGAGTCAGAAGCAAGGGCACACACCATGTCGCAGCAACCCCCTGGTAGTAGGGCAGCTGAAACCTGCATCTCATGTTGCTGCCTCCTCTACCAACACCACCACCAACAAGAACAACAGCAGCAACATTAACCACGGCAGAAGCAGCAGCAGCGGAAGCAGCAGCGGCAGCTACAGCAACAGCAGAAGCAGTTTGCAGTCTCCAAACGCAAAACCCAATCACTCCTCCCCTTTTGACCCAGAGGCCACTTCTGTTCCTTCACCCTCCCCTTGCCTTCCCCCCAAGATCACGTTCCCCATTCGTTCACCCCTCCTCTCCTCCCCCGCTCATCCCACCGCCTCCCCCTCCTACTCGCCTCACCCCCCTCGCGCCCCTCCTCCCCCTGCTGTTGCTCTCTCCCCTCGCCGTGCGCATGTGGGCGTGCAGGAGAGGGAAGGGGAGAGTGTGGGAGAAATGGGATGGGAGGGGCGGAAGGCGGTTGGTGCTGCTGCTGCTGCTGCTGGTACTGGTGCTGGTGCTGGTGTTGGTGCTGGTGCTGGTGCCGGTGCCAGTGCTGGTGCCGGTGCCAGTACTGGTGTTTTTCCTGCTGGCGTTTTGCTGTTGAGTGAACCCCCCCACCAGCACCAGCCGTCCCCTTCCTATCCCCTCGTCCAACCGCACCCTCCTGCTCACAGCAACACCTCGCCCCCTCGGCCCTCCCCCCACAACCGGCTCTCCCACTCCTCCTCCTCGTCCTCCTCCTCCTCAATCCCCCTGCGCACCATCACTGCCCCTGCTTCTGCCACTCGCACTATCTCTCCCATCCGCCCTGCCAGCACCTCCAGTGCAGACAAGAGCCGCCCTGCCAGCAGCACCACCAGTGCTCATAAGAACCAGCTGGCCAGCAGCACAACAGTGGTGGTGGTGGCAACTTTGGAGCAAGCGCAAGGGTCGGCTGGTGGTGCTGGTGCTCCTCCTTATGGCGCGTCCCACTCCACTAGTGTTTCTCCTCCTCCCTGCACCGCCAATGGTGCTGTTATGGCCCCTGGGATTGCCAATGGTGCTGTGAAGTCTTCCCCTGGCAAGGCAGGGCGAGTGGTGTCGTCAGCGGTAGCGAGGACGGGAGGAGCCGACGCAAGCAGGCAAGGCCAGTCTTCTGCTGCTGCTTCTGCTGCTGCCTCTGCTCTTGCTTCTGCTCCTGCTGCTGCTTCCGGTGCTGCGGTTGTTACTGCTTCCCCTGGGGCTCCTCCTGGCGCTGCTGCTGGTGCTCCTGGTGGCGGAGACACAACAGCAGCAGCAATAGCAACAGCAGCTGCAGCAGCAACAGCAACGGCAGCAGCAGCAAATGTCGGATCGTATACGGAGAGGAGCGCTGAAAGCGGCGGGAGTAGAGACGAGAATCCGCAGCAGCAGGGGAGTGCCGTGGGGGAAGGCTGGAGGAAGAAGATCAGGGGGAACGTGCTGAGCCGGGGCAGTATGATGAATGGACGGAGGGGAGGTAGGGGAGGGATTGGGGGCCGCGGTGGCAAGAGCAGTGCAGCAGCAGCAGCAGCAGCAGCAGCAACGGGGCATGGCGTGGGCGGTTTAGCTAGCAGCAAGGTCCCAGGGGTGGCGGGGACTGGGTCTGGGAGGCAACATCCCCTGGCTGCTGCCCTTGGAGACTTCAGCTTGGATCCATGACTTGTGGGATAGTTGGGCGATGAGGGCGCTGTGAGCGCTGAGGGTGCTGAGGGCGCTGTGGTGTGCATAGAAGAGCTCTGACTGAAGTTCAGCAGAAGTAATTCATACTGGTTTGCGTACTTTGACCACCTTGGGGCAACTAACCTTAATCTGTACTGTACATGTTGCGGTTCGTCATCTGTCTGCAAATAGGTATCATGGTTGGTTGCTATGGGAGGGGTGGAATGAACTCCATGAAAACGTTCGGTGCTGCCTTGGTACACTGCCAGAACCAGTAACCGTATACTGCAGGCGCGTTTGGCAGCTTACAGCTGCTGCCGCAGTTGTGCTGTGCACCTTTTGCATCAGCACTTTTGAGGCATCTCAAAAGCAGCTGCTGCCGCAGTTGTGCTGTGCACCCTTAGCATCAGCAGCAGGTGTGACGTGACATTATGATTTCTCAGCAGTTCACACTCTGAATTACCTGGCAACCAGGTGCCCATTGGCCATACACTATACCAGCCACCAGTCTACTATGAAAAATGATCACAATGTTTACAAAACAACAGCATATAGAAGACGAAACTATGTGCCCTACCCATCTCCACTCAGTAAGAAGCAGCTGGGTGGGTCGTTGTCGCTGACAGCAAACACTCCTGCCTGTCGTGCCCCCCATCACCAACACCACCACCAGCAGCTGCAAGGAAGCAACTCCGCACTTTATGCAAACCCAAAAACGTCGACAGTCTTCAGTGTGGGGAACTTGTCCTTGATGGCGGCCTGGATGCCCATGACCACTGCCACAGTCAAGGGGGCCCCCATACACCATGACTTCTACGTAATCCAAACAAGCAGCAAGGGGCGCCCTTTAAGCAAACCCAACAACGTCGACAGTTTTGAGTGTGGGGAACTTGTCCTTGATAGCGGCCTGGATGCCCATCGCCACAGTCGGGGGTCCTTCATACGCCACGCGGCATGTCCCCTCACCCTCATTCACCGCCACCACCTGCACCCGGCCGCCAAACCCGCTGATGGCTGGCCGCAGCATGTCGAGATGCGCGTCCACCGACTGCAGAGTAGGGAAGCAGGGCCGAAGGGAAGAAGGGAAGCAGGGAAGCAGGGCAGTAGGGCAGAAGGGTAAGTCAGAGAAGGCCAGGAGGCAAGGCAGCAGGAATGAGGACGAGGGCGTCTCAGCTGGCACTTGAGGGCAGGGTGAAATGAGACATGGCCGCCTGACGACTGTGGTGCACGTGTGGTGGATGAGAGGGGTCAATCGCAAGGCCGAACCTGCAAAATGCGAAAGCAGAGGAGTCAGGGAGGGAGAGGGCGGGAGGGGGGGACGGGGAGGGGGGCTGGGGGGGGGGGGGGAGAAAACGGTACTCACAGCAACAGTGACGGAGGTGTCGATGACGTCGACTTGAACGACCTCCTTGAGCTGCGTGGGGAAGCAGCGCAGCAGCTCTGCCTCAATGCCCATCTTCATGGTGGACGTGGAGCTGGGACACGTGCCGCACGCGCCTGGGGGAAGGAGGGGGAGATGATGGTAAGGGGGGGTGTGTTGGGAGAGAGGGGAGAGGCAGGGAGGGGGTTAGGGAGTAAACAGCAGCTCCGCCTCAATGCCCATCTCTTCATCGTGGACGTGGCCCTGGGACATGTGCCGCACGCACCTGGGCGAGGGGGAGGATGGGAGTGTGTGGGGGGAGGGGGGAGAGGGGGAAGGGGGGTGGAGGGGGAGAGAGGGGAGAGAAATTAGTGAATAGACAGATAGCGGCTCCGCCTCAATGCCCATCTTCACCGTGGACGTGGCGCTGCGGCTCGTGCCACACGCGCTTGGGCTAAGGGGGGATGACAGGTGCACTCGTGCGTTGTGTGTGAGTGCGGGAAGGGGGGTGGGTGACGTGGTGTGGTGGGGTGTGTGTCAGGGAGGTCCGGGAAAAGTTAGGGAACAGCCGGAAGAATCAGCAGCCACATCACTTAACCTGCAGAACCATGTACCTAGTTAGCCCCCCTTGCATGCATAGGTATCACCATCCTTCCATCACCACCATCACCACCATCACCACCACCCCTTACCCTGCAGTCGCACGGACACGACGCCATCGCTGATCCCCGCGACCTCCACGTTGCCCCCATCCGCAATGAGGTACGGCCGCACGGCCTCCAGCGCTGCGTCCACCGCCGCCACCGTCATCGCCACCTCCTCCCTCGCTCCTGCGCCGCCGCCGCTGCTGCTGCTGCTGCTCCCCCCGCCTCCTCGCGCGAATGGGCTCACGATAGTGTCTGCTGCAGCAGCCTCTGCCGGTGCTGCTGCAGGGGAGTCGGAGGGTAGAGTGGACTTGGTCTGCCTGTCGATGACCGAACTCCAGTCGTCGCCCTCTGTGGCCTGGGGGTGGGGGCGGACAGGGGAGGAGCAGGAATGAGGGGGGAGGAGTGTGGAGGAGTGTTGAGTGTGGGCAAGCAGGGTCCTTTCTCACCCAGGTGAGCGGGGAGCAGGGGGGAGAGCGGGGAGGAGCGGGGAGGAGCGGGGAGGAGCGGGGAGGAGCGGGGCCAAGATGGGAAAGGGAAGGAGAGAAGGAGGGAAGAGTGGATGCAAGGGACCAGCGAGGAGCGCAAGACAGGGGGCATGGAGGGGATAAGTGCGGAATGGAAGAAAACAGGAGGATTCGGGGGGAAGCAGTTCCGGTGTGGGGGGAAGGAGAGGAGGGGGGGAAGGAGGGGGGGGGGGGTAGGGGGGGGTTGGGGGGGGTTGGAGGGGAAGGAGGGTGGGGGGAGGTGGGGGAGGGGGAGATGGAGCGCATTTCATGCTGCAGAGCAGAGAAGAGCATTTCAAAAGCAAGAGAAGAGCCCGATGAGCACAGCAGAGTTGGGCGTGCATACCCTAAGCAGGTTGAGGCGGCGCTGCCTGGCGTCCTCGGTCTCATCATCGACGGCGTCCGCGAGGTTCTCCCCCATGGCCTTGCGCAGCTTCAGCTTCTTCTCCTCGTACTCCGCCACCTCCGCCGCGCTCATCGCCGCCGTGCCCGGCCCGCTCGGCCCCTCCCACTCCGCGCTGGGGGGGGGAGAGCAGGGGGATGAGAGCGAGGGTAGTGGAAGTGAGGCGAAAGACGTGGGGGTGATCATGAGGCAACTGGAGATGGAAACAACAGAGGCATTAGTGCGAGGACGCGACCTGCACTGAGCCGAAAGATGGAACGAGAAAGTGGGAGAGAGGGAGGTGCTTGGGGGAGGGGGGAGGGAGGCGGGAACAGGTGTGGGGACGGGGGAAAGAGGGGGGGGGGGAGAAAGGGGAATGGACGGAGGAATGGGGAAGGTGTTGCGGCGGGAAGAGACGGAGGGAGAGGATGGGGGAAAGGGACGTACAGGTCGGTGCTGTTGCCAGGAGGGAGCATCTGCGAATCAGCGGCACCGGCCATTCCCATCAATTGCGGGATCCACTTCTGGCGCTCCTCCTCGAGGCGCGCGCGCGTGATCATCGCCGCGTCGCTGTACACGCGCACGCGCACGCTGCTGGCGCGCTCCGCGCCGACGAACGACGCGTGGCCCTTGAGCGCGAGCACCACGCTGCGGCTGAACCCCACGTACTGCAGCGCGCCCGCCGCGTCGTACACGGCGTAGATCCCGGCGAGCTTGAGCGTCTCGCGGCGCGCGACGTAGTCGGCGAGGGGGAGCTGGAGGGACCCGTCGTCCTCGCCCTGCTGTAACGCGTACGACTGCGACGGCGCGTCGTGCACGTCTGTGAGGCGGAGGGAGGAGGGGACGGGGAAGAGGAGGAAAGTGGGGGAAGAAGGGGGAAGAGGGAAAGAGGGAGAAAGGGAGAGAGCGAGAGGGGAAGGGAAAGATGCATGACCTTAATGAATTTCGCGAATAGGGAGCTTTTTTTCTTCGCACGCGCTTCCCAAAAACACCAACCCTCTTTCACCAACCCTCTTTCTTCCCTCTCTCGTCCCCCATTCTCCCCCCGACCATCCCCCCCTTTCTTCCCTCACTCCCAACTTAATCCCTCGCATTCTCACAATCCTCGACCCTGTCGACCTGCTCCCTCCCCCTCCCTCCCCCCCCCCCCACCTCCTTCCACATCACCCGCACCTCCCACCATCACTTCTTCCTCCCCCATTCGCCCTACCAGCGCCCTGCGAGCCGTAGAGGAAGCCGTGCAGCCCCTGGTGGCCCTCAGGGACCGTTTCGTCGGTCATCACGCTGCCCAGCACGCGCACCGCCGGCCCCTCCACCATCCCGTTATCCATCGCCACTTCCTTCGCCTCCTTCGCTCGCTGCTCCTGCTGCTGCTGCTGCTGCTGTTGTGCGGACGCCGAGACGGTCACTGGCGCGCCGCGCGAGCCGCGTCGCTGACGTAGACTGGGGTTTGTCTTTAACGGGAATTTCGACGCGGAATTCGAGCGGAGATTATTGTGCTGCTGCACACGGTAGTGAGGCTCCGGTGCTGCGCTGTGCAGACCAACGGCGCCGCACAGGGCGGCAGCTGAGCGTGCGAGAGCCGCCATGACGCTTGACTAGCGAGAGACGAAAGAGAGAGACGACACTGACACCTCTGACGTTGCTGGCACTGCTACTGCGGGTCAACGAGACTCAATTGAGTGCCAGCAAGCGAGAACAGAGGGAGGAAGCTAGGAACAAAGTTGACGGGGTGGGAGTGCGGTGGTGGTGTGGTGAGGTGAATGCTTCTTGCAGGGTCAAGCAGGTGGAGTCATCCAGGAAGGGGTCTGGGATGGAACGGGATGTAATGGGATGCTATAAGGTCAAATGCGGTGGATTCATTCATGGATGGGAGTGATAGGCGGATGAACCAAGCGGCTGGATTTGAAATCCAGATTCTGGCTGAAAGTGCCTCGGGAATGTCTCTTGCGGATATGCCTTCTAAGCCCGCCACGTCGCAGGGGGGGATGCCCGCCACGAACCGACATTCACGAACCTAGACATTGGCGGCTACAGAGTGTAATGAATGTAAGGAATTTTCCATTCCTTAGCGCGCCACACCGCCAACGCATACCCCAAACCCACAGCACGGACACCTGCCCTAGCTTCGGCCCATACACGCCACGCCAAACCATACCTCGTCACTCCGAAGCGCTCTGCTTCCTCGGATGCCTTCTACGAACCTGTTCGATCACGCGGCTAGGATTGCTCTGGTGTCCCTATATCTTCGTCATTCCATTGTACCACATTCTGTTATTCTGAACCTCGACATTCAGTTCCGCGCTACTCTGGTGAAACACTCATAACATCTAGTATTCAGAGCTACTTTCCTCACCTACCTGCTTCCGTAGGCGGAAACCTTTTTGGGGGGGGTGGGGGGTGATTCGCTCACTTAGATGCAAAGCGGTCAGCCACGAATTAGACAAATTAATTCGCCCGACTACAATAGTGTTTGCGCTCTTACCTGAGCACGGGTAATCACGGATATTCCCCTATGTTATGAAGCTAGGTTAGCTAGGAAGGTAGGTGGCCATGAAATGGCGAGAGGTTTAGGAGCTAGGAGAGAAAGTTACAAGAGAAAAGAGGGTGAGACTAGGAAGAGAGAGGCATACAAGGAGGGGGTTGTACCCTCTACAGTAGAGTTCGGTAACCTACCAAGCCTACCAATTATATAACACAATATATAATTTAACACACCCCCTAGGCTTGGTAGTCACAAGCACACCCAACACACACACCCCCTAATCCCTTACACCCCCATGCTCGAGAGCAGCCGGGTATCTACCCCTCGTGCTTGGCATGGTGACATCCCCCGACGAGAGGCAGCGCGGGCAACGGCCATGGCTGAAGGCTCTTGGCGGTGTGGTGTGGCGTGGCGAGGCGACGACCGAGTAGAAGACAGCAGCTGCGGCAGGAGGAAGAGGAGACGCAGGGGAAGGGGGGTGAATCTCTAGCGACACGCCATGGGTGGCGCGGCGCTTACTGGCGGGAGAGGGCGAATCTTCAGCGAGGCACCATGGCTGGCGCGACGCTTACTGGCGTGAGGGCGAATCTTCAGCGAGGCACCATGGCTGGCGCGACGCTTATTGGCGTGAGGGCGTTACGACTGGCGCCTAGGACAGGGCGGTGGCCGCAGCCGTCCGTGCGCTGGCGTGGCGAAGCTGCCACGGCAGCACGATGGCACGGCGGCACAGCGGCGCGGTGGCACGACGGCCCAGCGGCACGGCGGCGCGGCGGCATCGTGGCACGGCGGCATGGCGGGACGGCGGCACTGAGGCACTGAGGCACGGCGACGTGACGGGGCCAGCGCGGCGTGTCGGGGCCAGCGCGGCGTGACGAGGCCAGCGCGGAGGGACAGGGCCGACGCGGAATGGCGGGGCCCGCACGTTCTAGCGGGGCCGGCGCGACGAGACGGGGCCGAGACAGAGTGGCGGGCCGGCGTGGCGTAACGGCACCAGCGCGGCTTGACGGGGGGGGTGGGCGAGTACGCTGCGGAAGCGTGAGGAGAAGGCCAGAGCAAAAGGGGCCTAATCTGATACCATGTTATGAAGCTAGGTTAGCTAGGAAGGTAGGTGGCCATGAAATGGCGAGAGGTTTAGGAGCTAGGAGAGAAAGTTACAAGAGAAAATAGGGTGAGACTAGAAAGAGAGATGCATACAAGGAGGGAGTTGTACCCTCTACAGTAGAGTTCGGTAACCTACCAAGCCAACCAATTGTATAACACAATATATAATTTAACACCTTGGCCACCTGGCGTAGTGTTCCCCATATGGACCAGGCGCAGTTCGACGAGCTGTTGACGAAATTCGCCGCCACGAACGCTCACCTGCAAGCTGTGTTAAACGACAACGAGAGACTTCGCGCCAAAGTTACCGAACTTCGTCAGACGCAAAAGGCTACGCCCTAGAAGCCGCCCGCCCCCGAGGACGCTGCCAGCACGGGACGGTCGAAACAATATTGGACGAAATCGCATGCGAAGTGTCGCAGGAGTGTCGTGATGATGAAGCTAAAGCAGTAACGAATGCCGTCGCACGTGCCACAGCAGCTGCGACAACGGCCGCCGCCCGCTCCGAAACAGCAGCAACAGTTTCTGCAGCAGCCGCAGTCACACCAAATGTACCAGTGGCGAAGATAAAGCTGTCGATGCCGCCCCCTTTTAACCACATTGAAAAAAAAAAAAAACACCACCATCACGGGCTGGCTTTTTGCAATTGAGCTTTATTTCGATGCCGCCGGGATTATTGTTGATGATTTAAAAATCAACTGATTGTTTTGCGACAAAGCGGACCTGCACAGGATTGGTGGCGATCGATGCTAAGTGAGAAGGGGATTTCGACATGGAACACTCAGGGTTTTTCAGGAGTTCGGAATCTGCTGCCTGGGACGCAACGTCAATTTTTGGATCCGACCGAGATTCGCACGTGGAAAGCATGGGGTACAGCCCTGCGCGCACGTTTTGAGCCCATATCCGCCCTGGACAACGCACGCACGAAGTTGGACACCTGGCGCCAGCTGACCCCGTCCACGATTACGCGTCATCATTTCAGGCACTGTGCGACCAAATCAACGACCTATTAGAAGCAGAAAAAAGAGAGTCAGTCCATCGTGGGGCTCAAATCCGACGTTCACTACGAAGTGAGGATGCGACGCCCAGCGACGTTCCAAGAAGCAGTGGTGATTGCCAACCTATACGACGCCAATAAAAAATACGCAAGATCGGGTTCCCGGGAGAGAAATCGTTTTCGTGGCCGGGATCAACTGCCCTCGATCAACGGCATTGTGGCGAACGATGAAGATCGCAGGAAGCGACAATGTTTTCACTGCCACCAGCCGGGTCACCGATATGCTGACTACCCTGACCGAAAACAGAGGAAAAACAACGACGGGGATAAGCCGGGAAACGACTCTCGTCAGTAGCAGAGGGGCCCCTTACTGACACAGCTGCATCTCCACGGGGTAGTGGTACCGGTACACGCTATCGACCGCTCTCGAACGAATAGCGGGGATGAACTCGAGGATCACCCTGTGCTTCTACAGGATTTTTTCACAGCTCCTTCGGTAACTTTATTTTTTTTCACCGACCGACGGCGAAAAAAAAAATTTACTCAAGGAGCGGTGTCTGCCCGAGATCGACGCCCAATTGGTCGACGGCATCCCGCTGGCGATACGCGATTGCGTGCAAACTGTTCGCATGAACGGCGATGACAATTTGGACTTCAGTGCGCCGATGTTGGCGACGACACTCGACGGCTACGATGTGCTGCTGGGACGAGATTGGCTTTGGCGACACAACCCGCAGATCGATTGGACGACTGGCGAATGTACAGTTAAGTGTGCGACTAGTCGGCAGACACTGCCAAGTTGGCGAGTAGCAGAGCAGATAACGACACGCGTCAACGCTATCACGCTGACACGCTCGGTCAAGAAAGGCACGGAACTGTACATCGTCCATCTGAAGGAATCAACGGACGACGATCAACTGGCCGACATCGACAATCTCTGCGCAGCAGTCCCCGAAGATCTGACGAAATTGATTCGTCAATTCCCAGATATCTTTCCGGACGACTTGCCACCTGGCCTGCCGCCAGAACGCCCTCAGGACCATCGGATCGAACTCGAACATAGCGCGCAACCAACTGTCTGGACACAGTGGCGGCTGACGCAACCCGAGCTCCAGGAACTGCGGGACCAGCTGGACTACTTGCTGGCCAAGGGGTTCATTCGAACGAGCACGTCCCCGTTCGAAGCCCCGATCCTGTTCACACCCAAAAAAGATGGGGGCCTCCAAATGTGCATCGATTATCGCGCTCTGAATCCGGTTAGGATAAAATCTTGCTACCCAATCCCACATGCAAACGAACTGATTGACCAGCTGCGAGGCGCTCGCTATTTCTCGAAGATCGACCTTCGCGGCCGTTACCATCGGATTCGAGTCTTCGTCGACGACTTCCACAAGACCGTGTTTCGTACTCGCTACGAGAGTTACGAATACACTGTCATGCCGTTCGGGTTAATGAATGCCCCCTCGACGTTCCAGCTGACGATGAACAGGGTATTCCGGGATCTACTCGATAAATGTGTGATCAGTTATCTGGACGATATCCTGATTTACACCACGATACTGGAGCAACACTTAAAGGACCTGGAAGCGTTTTTTCGGCGCTTGCAACAGAATCGTCTCATCACCAAAGGCTTTAACTGCAATTTTTTAAAACCCAAACTGAAGTTTTTTGGGCACGTTATTTCGACGGGGGGCGTGAAGATTGACCCCCCCGCAAAATTCGGCGATTCAGTAATGGAAGCCGCCGACCAACCTTCAGGAGCTGCAATCGTTTTTGGGGTTCGTCAATTATATGCGCCGGTTTATACCCAACATGGCGTGGGTAATTGGAGCACTAACTGACCTACTTCATAAGGGCATTGATTATCAGTGGGGGGAGAAGCAGCAAGCTGCGTTTGACGGATTAAAAAATGTTTTAATCTCGCCACAAGTCCTTCGGATTGGTGACCCAGAACGACTGTTCGAAGTCGTAACCAGCGCAAGTGACATCGCCATCGGAGCAATCCTGCTACAGGATTTTGGCGAGGCCTTCAGCCAATCGCGTACGAGTCTCGAAAGTTACAGTCGGCTAAGCGAAATTATCCTGTACACGACAAAGAAATGCTAGCGATCGTGCACACGTTCAAGATCTGGCGATGCTACTTGACGGGAGCCGACGTGACTGTACGAACAGATCACAAATCCTTACAGTACCTGCAAGCGCTGCCGAATCTCAACCCGCGGCAGATTCGCTGATTGGATTATTTGGAGTCGAACTTCACGTATCACATCACGTACAAGTAGCATGCCAACAACATTGTTTACGCCCTCTCCCGACCATCTGCCCAAACCGATGCTGTACTAATCGCTCATACGAACCCATTGCTGAGCGGACTATTTACCTACGGATATTCGACCGATCCCTTTTTTCGTAAATAACGGCCACCAGCAAGTCACGATTGCACGGGGAGCGTATTACGTAAAAGCGGGAACGAGACGAATTTGGGTTTCGAGTTATCGTCTACTTCGCGAATTACTAATTCAAGAAGTCCACGATTCAAACTTATCGGGATATTTCGGGGTTGACAAGACTCCGAAGGCACTGCAGCGGTTTTATTATTGGCCGAACATGATTTTGGACGTGCAGAAGTATGTGGGCACGTGTCCGACCTGCAAGACGATGAAATCATCACGTCAGCGGTCAGCGGGACTGTTCCAGCCCCTTGAGCCACCCCAGCGGCCTTGGCAACACGTGACAATGGATTTTATCACCGGCCTGCAGGCCGGACCAAGTGGAAACGACGCAGTCCTTGTCATCGTCAACCGCGTCACGAAAATGGCTCACTTCGCGCCATGTCGTACGACGATCACAACCGAAGAAACCGCGTGTCTGTTCATCTCGACCGTTGTTCACCTGCATGGTATCCCTACGGCGATCATCAGCGACAGAGACCAAAATTCACCTCACGCTTCTGGCAAGACACGTGGAACCGATACGGCACCCGCCTACAATTCTCATCCGCCTATCACTCGCAAACTGACGATCAGACAGAACGGACGAATCAGACCATGGAACAGTTGATTCGCACGAACTGCCCGGATATCAGCAAATGGGAATCGCTACCCATGCTCAAGTTTTCCTACAACAATGCACCCTCTGCCACGACTAGTCACTCGCCCTTTTTCCTGAATTAAAGGATGGATCCGACAGTACCCATTTCCACCAACGTCGAAAGCCAAGTCCCCCGTTTGCTGCAGTTCATCGAAGACCTTCAAACCGCCTGCACGAAGGCCATCAAATTTATCCAAAAAGCCAATGTCACTGCCCGCCAGTACGCCGATCGACACAAACGAGATATTTCCTTGACTGCAGGGAATCTAGTCCTCTTCGACACCAGAACCTTTCACCTGCAGATACCGTCAAAACTTCGACCCCGCTACTGTGGACCTTTCAAGATCATCAAGATGATAACGCCAGTGACCGCCCAACTCCGCCTGCCCGACGATTGGAAAATTCATAACGCATTCCATGTTAGCATCTTTCGTCCTTTTGTTGCCGATATGTCAACCGTCGTCCGACAGCCGATCGCATAGGATCTACGGCCAGCTGAAGAGACACTCATCGAACCAGCAAAGATCCTGAGCCACCGAGTAAGAATCAACGGCCAGGAACGATGAGAAGAGCCTGTTGCCGGCTTCCCTGGAGCACTGAAAGCCCACCCATCCCGCCACCATGGGAGCGTTCAAAAGCACCTCTGAGTCACACCGCCGGGGTGTCTCCGCGGCACAGTTGTAACGTGTCGTGCCCACAGCAAGGCTAGCCCTTTGCCTCCCACTGTACTACACTCAATCCAGTCAGAACTCCCAGGCTAAGTGCCTTCTGGGGGGGACCACTGGGTTAGGTGACCTCCCGGGAAGTCATGTTGTGTGACTCCGGAAAGGCATGTGCTCTAGGGTAAATGGTGACCGAGAGATTGCGAATGCTCGGCGGAGGCCGACAGTTGTTCCACCAGTCCCAGGAGGGGTTCCCGACTCTACGTTGGGGGAAGCTGCTGCACTGCGCTGCCAGCATTAAAAAACCCTAAACAATTCCTCAGACCCTTCCTTGAATGGGGGGATGAGAAGAGCCTGTTGCCGGCTTCCCTGGAGCACTGAAAGCCCACCCATCCCGCCACCATGGGAGCGTTCAAAAGCACCTCTGAGTCACACCGCCGGGGTGTCTCCGCGACGATACGATGGACTCATCGTACCAGCGAGGACGACACGTGGGTTCCCTCGATACAGGTACAGTCACTCACTGTACTCCGAGATTATTTATCCCGCAAGCACATCGCAAGTATTGACCACCTTTTTAAGATGGGGGGTAGTGTAAGAAAAATTCCATTCCTTAGCGCGCCACACCACTAACATGTACCCCAACCCCACACGGCACGGACACCAGCCCTAACTTCGGCCCGTACACGCCACGCCGAACCATTCCACGTCACTCCGAAGCGCTCCGCGTCCTCGGATGCCTTCTACGAACCCGTTCGATCACGCGGCTATGATTGCTCTGGTGTTCCTATATCTTGCTTCGTCATTCCATTGTACGCCATTCTGTTATTCTGAACCTCGACATTCGATTTCGCGCTTCTCTAGTGAAACACTCATAACACTTCGCCAACAACTTCGTCACCAAAGTCTTCCGCAGCGCTATTTCCTCGATTTAACCAACTCTGTCAAACATAGCTAGGTAGGAGGAGCCATAGAATGGTGAGAGGTTTTAGGTGCTAGGAAAATTTACGAGAGAAAAGAGTGATGGAATAGAAGAGAGAGTGATACAAGAAGGGGGATTGTACCCTCTACAGTAGGATCCAGTAACACCTACCAAGCCTACAATTACATATATCAAATATATAATTTAACACACCCCCTAGGCTTGGTAGCCGAAAGCACACCACACACACAGCACACTAAGCCACACACCCCCTAAGCCTAGCACCCCCATACTCAGCAGCAGCGACGGCTACTCCAGCATGGTCAACCCCTTCGACGCGTAAGGCGGCGACGTCGACAGCGAGGGCAGCAGCAACGGCGGCGACGGCGGCAGCGGCGGCGTGGCCAGTGGCACCAGCTACGGCGGCGTGGCCAGTGGCACCAGCTACGGCGGCGGCGGCTTCGACGACAGCTGCCGTCGGCGGCGGAGCTCGCAGCACTCGGCGGCGTGGCCGGGCTCCGCGACGGTGGGACGGCCGGCGCGAGTCAGCCGTCGGCTGCGGCGAGGAAGAGGGGACGCAGGGGAAGGGGGGCAGGGCTTCAGCAGCGGAGCGCGAGAGCGTGCCACCCCGTGTGGCGCGCTGGCTGCATGCGGGCGTGCTGGCCAGCGCTAAGACCGGGCGCTGGCCGCTGGTGTCCGTGCCGTCCGCGCGCTGGTGCGTAGACGCCGCCACGGTAGCACGACGGCGCCGTCACGGCAGCACGACATGGCCGTGGCGGTGCCGCGGAAAGGACAAGAGGGAGGAGCAGACTTTGCGGAAGTGTGATAAGCAGGCCCATGAAGAGCAACCTGCTCTGAAACCATGTCAAACATAGCTAGGTAGGAGGAGGAGCCATAGAATGGCGAGAGGTTTTAGGTGCTAGGAAAAGTTACGAGAGAGAAGAGTGATGGAATAGAAGAGAGAGGGATACAAGAAGGGGAGTTGTACCCTCCACAGTAGGGTCTAGTAACACCTACCAAGCCTACAATTATATACATATCAAATATATAATTTTACAAACTCCGCTATTCTCTAGCGGATTTAGGCCAAGCGGCCTAACAGAAATATGGTTCATTGGCAAAAATGACCAATATTTCATTTGTTTGGACTTTCATTCATCCGCTCATCCACCCTATCTGACCTGGGCGTTATTTTGGTAATACGCGTACCATACCATCCATTTCCGCTGAACTTATGCATGAATCGTTTATCTTTCCCCTATGCAATTCATTTAGGCAAATCATTTAGCCTAACCGCTTTAGTAGACACATGCAATGCAATGCAAACATCTTACAACCTTGACACTTCTCCAAGCAAATATGGAGAGAATTAGTGGCACCAAGGCTCATTGTCTTGACCTTCGAAGCCTATGACTGCGTATACCACCCACACTAGAATGGCATCACGGTGCCAAGGACCGGGGATCAGAGCCGCAGGGATAAGAGCAGCAGTGGTCAGAGGACCGGGGATGAGAGCCGCAGCTGGGATCAGAGCAGAAGGGATGAGAGGGCCGTGAATCAGAGCAACAGCTGGGATCAGAGCAGCAGCTGGGATCAGAGCAACAGCTGGGATCAGAGCAACAGCTGGGATCAGAGCAGCAGCTGGGATCAGAGCAGCAGCTGGGATCAGAGCAGCAGCTGGGATCAGAGCAGCAGCTGGGATCGGAGGGCAGTGAATCAGAGCAGCAGCTGAGGCAGCAGAGGCAGTGGGGATCAGAGCAGCAGCTGGGAGAAGAACTGCTCAAACTCGCCATCGATGGTCAACGGCTTGGCTGCTCGGATCAAACAGTCTGCAAGACAGCACAGGGGGGCAAAAGAAGAGGCAAGGATAGTGAGCGAGAGATGTGATAATGAGTCGACCAGGGACACAGCAGCATGCAGTGGCGGGTGTAGAGGTGAAGGGAATAGAGATGGAAAGGGTGGAGACGGAGAGCTTGCCTGAGGAAAGGGATCTTCCAGAAGAGAGAACAAACATGGGAGATTCCCGAGGGTCCCACATGGGCTTGTCGTCATCCCCACACTCCTCGTCGTCGTCCTCCTCTTCCACTCCTCCAATTAACTGTTTCCATCGCAGAAAGAGCAGGTTCTGGTGCTTCACATGTAGACGTTGCTGCTGCTGCTGCTGACCGCTCGCAAGGAGCAAGGCGGAGTGCAGGTGGACCTTGCCAGCACCGACCCTCCCACCTGCTGCTTCACCTGCTGTTGCAGGCCTGCCTCTCCCTTCACCTCCCCTTACCCCTTCCCCTGCTGCTGCACGCCCCTGCCTGCTACCATGGCCACCCAAACAGGCAGGGCTCGATTGTTGACTGCACGATCCACACGTGCTCTCCACTGCTGCTGCTGCTGCTCGTTCCTCCAACGCTGCTGCTGTTGCTGTATGTGCTCCTGTCGTTAATGTAGGTGCTGCTGTTGCTCCCGCAGCTGCCGCTGCAGCAGTTGCCTCCGGTGCGCACTTGGCTCCACCATCGCCACTGCACGAGCTGCCCACGGCACTCCCCATTCGCCTGCTACTGCTGCTGCAGCAGTGGCGGCTGTAGCAGCTGCTGCGGCTGCCACTCACCCCGCCTGCCATCGCCGCACCACCGGCAGGAGAACCTGCTCCTGCTGATGCTGCCACGGCCGCCACTGTAGCCACTGTCGCTGCTGCATTGGCGGACGCAGCATTCGAAGGCACAGGCAAGGGAGAAGGAGAGGCACCACTGGCGGATGCCCAGCTTTCATCCCTCTCTCTCACAACCCTGCCTTCCCCCCTTGCCTCCTCCAATGACCATCTCACCACGCTATCCGTCCATCTAGCACCCCGATACTCTCTTCTTCTTTTTGCCGTTAAGGACAACCCACACCGCCCAGCCTGTGCCATCTCCCTAGGGCTCCGGTCGGCAGCATCGTTAGATTCGATACCGGTCAGCGGTCTGTGCTGTGCCATCTTGATTGCGGCAGTGCCGCTATGATCGCCCCCATGCCGCTGTGCAAGAACAAGGCCATCACATCCACGCATTGAAGGCGACTCATGCTGCTGCACCTGCTGCTGCTCGTGGGAGCAGGAACAGTGTTGCTGGTGCTGGTGCTGGTGCTGATGAGGATAGCCCTCTTCTTGGTTGCTCCTGCGTTCGTGCATGCCATTGCCCACTGTTCTCATCCCCATGTCTTCCCATCCCGTGCATCTGTCCGCCATCCCTATATCCCCACTTCTACCCATAGATCCCCCCCCCTGCGCCATCACCCCCCCCACCCCCTCCTCTTCCCCCTCCGCCTCCCCTTCCCCGTCAGTCTCACTCCCCCTCTCACATTCCCCCCACGTGCCCCCCCGCTGTATCCCCATCTCACTCCCATCGTCTCCGTCATTCTCCCCCTCCTCTTCCCCCCTCCCGCCCATACCTTCTACCTCCCCCGCGCGCATTCCCCCCCCCAGCGCGCCCCCATGCGCCGCACCAACGCGCGTCCCCCCACTCCCCGCGGGGAGGCACAGGCGCTTAGCGGAGAACGGGGGGACGTCCCACGACGACGCGACGGCGGAGGAGGGCCGCCAATAGCGCTGCTGGGGCGGGCGGAAGGGGGGGAGAACGAGCTTCCGCGGGAGTTGCGCGGATTCGAACGGGTTGCGGGCGGCGGAATTACCATGATCAAGATGGCTTGGGGTGGTGGGGGTGGTTGGGGTGGTAGCGAGGTGGCGCTTCGACTGCGCGGTGGCGGCGCGCGAGAGGGGCGCGGGGGATGCGGGGAGTTGCGCGGAAGGAGGTTGGGGGCGCGGCGGGTGGTTGGAGCGGGATCGCGAGTTTGGGGAATACGACTCGCGAAATAAATCGGGTCGAGGGATGCCGGCGCGGCGGGCAGCGGCGGCAGGGAGAGATGGCAGCGGCGGCGCCGCTGACGTCAGACGCGTTGACTCCGAGGCGCTCCCCGCACGTGGTTGCAGCAGCGACGGCAGACAGGACGGCGCCGCGCTGCAAAAACTGCGCGCAAGGGAGGGGGGCGAGGCGACCAATGGGAGGCGGGAAACAAGACCGTTTTACGTGGGCGGACGGGTTGAGCCGCAGAGAGGAAGAGACTCTCCTCGGAGGAGAGGGAGAGAACGTGGGGGGTGGGGAGAGAGGGGGCGGGGAGAGGGGAGAGGGGAGAGGAGGGGGAATAGGAGAGGAGAGGGGGATCGACTAGCGATCATTCGGCGGTGCGTGGAGGGAGGAGGGGTTCAGAGGAACAAGTCATCGCAAGCGGAGAGCCAATCGCTAGGTAATCGTTGGGACCGCTAGAGCCCTCAGGCTGTCTCTCATTGGGATCGCTAGGAGCTTTTCACCACCCTTCCGCCATCCTGGCGGCGCCACACTCTTCGCTGCTGGCTCACCTAGTGCGTTCAACTAGCACGCGAACGTACCAGTGGTAGTAAACCCGTACGTTGAACGTACTACGGGCGTACTACTAGAAACTTGAAGTTCCTAACGACGGCCCTTTATCGAAGGGACCAGGGACCACGACATTAGTGCGGCGCGGCGGAGGTTCTTCCTCTTTGTCATCCCATGCCAGTCCTCCGTCGCAAGGAGCTCCTAGTGAGGCGCCGCAAGAGCTCCTTGCCAGCCTGGCTGAGCCAGAAGATCTTGAAGCTGCTACGAGTCTCTTGATACCTACTACTACTTCTACTTACGCGCGCGGCCTCACCTCTTCCGCTTCTTCCGCGCGCCATCGTCGTCGCAACGCGCATCCCCGGGCCAGGCTTCCGCCGTCGCCCTTGGCAAGGGCTGCTGCGCTGACTCCCCCACTGCCGCTCTGCTCGTTCCGCCGCTCGGCGTTAAGCACGGCGACCGGCGCAGCTCCGAATGCTGGTCCCGCGCGCTGCGCTCTCTCCGCTCCGCACCCGCCGCCACATCCCATGCTGCGCCATCCCCCAGCAGCCCCGCGGGCGAATGCTGCTCCGCACCCGTGGGGAACAGCGCGCGGGTAGTCCCTCCTGTTGACCCCAGTAGCCGGTTGGCGGCTTCTGCGGCGGCATCTGCGGCGGCTGCTGCGGCGGCTGCTGATGCAGGTGTTTTTTGGCGTCGCTTAGAGACGAGGAAAAAACGGCGCGGGCCGTCGGGCTGTGGGGCAGTGGCGTGTGGGTGCGCTACGATTTCCATGTGCAGCGCGGGGAAGTGCAAGTCCTAGAATTAGTAGTAGTAGTGCTATTACGCGGAGATTGCGCAGCCCAGGCCTCACCGACTGGAGCAACGGATTGGAGTTCGAGCTCTCCTAGTAGTAATAGCTTTGCACCGGCATTCAAGTCGAACGGCCCGTTGAACATACAGAACCCCGTGCAGATGTGTATGTATGTGTATGAGACCTGAAGCATTGAACTAGGAATGTGAGAAATGCACCACCATGACGCTGCTTTGTCGCCAGCGAGACAAGAGTGTGTGTGTGTGTATGAGAGAGGAATATGGATAAAAAGTGTGAGAGATCGGCTGCACGCCGTGACACGCGCCGGCTGCTACGCGTCAAGAGCGCAACTGGTGGCGTTGCTGATGTAGGTGTGTCCTCACGTCGAATGTGACGTAACCGAGGTAAATGGTGGGAAGGGAAGGGCTTCATGTATACCCGAGGGATGCTATGCCATAGCAGAAGTACTAGGTCTGCCCTGGCCACTGGGATGTGGATCTGATGACCTAAGAAATGTCACTTGACCCGTGACGCACAAGCTCCGTGTTTCCATTCCACAACATACGGTCACCTCCTGGTCATATTTTCTGACAGAGGTGCAGCCTTCGCAAACTCACTGGCATGGCCAGAGAGGACTGGGCATTGGGATGGACGGAGAGGAGAAGGATGATGCCACGCATGAGGCTCGATTGGGATAGGAAAAGACAGCATGCAATCTGCGCACGCCTGCATTTCTCTCCGCCCCTTGTCAAACCTGCCATGACCTGGCTGGCTAGTACAGTGGGTATGTTTCGGGATGGAGCACCCTGCCAGATCCAAGCAGAGTCCGTTTTCACCCGGCGAACTTTGGGCGAGAGACTCTGCTCCTTGTCAGGAGATAGCTACGCGTAGGCGGATTCTTCGGTTAAAGAACAGCATGGGGTCTAAGTGATAACAATGTGGGATTTTCCTAAAATACAAGCTTTGAATACAGGCAGGGAAACCATCAAGACCTACACTGTATTTTGTGCTACATATTCACTAAACTTTTTTAACAGACAGGGAGACTATCAATACATAAATTCGCCAGGCATTTCAGTGCAAGTTGTTGCTTTGTCCACATTCTCGGGTTTCTGCTTGCCCTCGGGTGACTTGACCTACATGGAGTGTGGTTGGGTGGAAATGGCCCAACTTGCTTCCACCACACCTCTTGCGAAGTGAGGAGGGCTGCTGTCCTCCTGCCCTCACTCTACAGTACATTGCTTTATAGATACAAGAAAAAAACTATTAATTCCTCAAAAAACAGAAAACCGAACACCTAACAGCGCAGTGCTAGAAAGTTTACTGTACCTCCTGCGGCTCGAGGGCTGCTTCATGCGCGTCACCCGTCAGTTACGATGCTGAAATGCTGGAAATCGAAAACAGCGAAATGAAAATGTACAGTTCGTCTGGTCCCTTCAGCAGCCAATCAACACTTTCAACAAACTCATGAATACTGTGAAGAGCCGGAAATTCAAGGTCAAAGTGAGTCATGTTGAGTACCTGTTAGGGTGATAAGACCAGGCGAGATTTGCGATTCATAATGTAAAACGAAATAGGGAATGTTAAGTTCAAAACAGTAAACTGAGACAGGTGTAATAGAGCTTTGCCTCGCATCTGCTGGGCTTCCCTGACTTGCGGTTTGGTTTGTGCGAACACCCGTGGATGTTGACACCAGGCCTCTCGACATCCGGGTAATTACCCTGCGTATTCAAGGAAAACAGGGTAAGTTTTATGTACCACCCTGATTTCTACGCATCCAGATTTGAAGTACACGTCCACTAGCAGACTAGGCAACAACATTCCTCTTCCGATTTCCGAGTAGTGGAATGTATCGCCCTGTAACATCTGTCTGTAAGGCCTGGTTACCCAGCTAGAAACCCCTCTTCTCCGTTGAGGGAGGGATCGGGCAAAACCGCTCCCGGAATCCCAAGTGGCCCATTTGGGTTTTCGGCAAGCGCGCCAGACCCTGATTGGATGTTGCAGCTTCCCCAACCAAGCCTCTCTACCTCAAACTCGTTACCCCTAACCAAGCCTCTCTGAACCAAACTCATTTCCCCCAACAAGGCCTCTCTGAACAAAACTCATTTCCCCCAACCAAATCTCGCAAATGAATCGCAAACTCATAATATAAACTCATTTCCCTTTCAGCCAAACTCGTTCCCCTCAATGAAGCCTCTCACAGCCAAACTCGTCCCCCAACCAAGCCTCTCTCAGCCAAGCTCGTTTCCCCAAAGAGGTTTGGTTGGGGAAAATGTGCTTTCCTGGACCACGCCTCTGTGCTTCATATAAGTGGGGCATTTGTAACTGTGAGATGAGGGTATTTTTTGTAGTAGGCAATAAATTGGTGAAGTGGCAGTTGCACTTGTAGTCAATCGTTTGGGGTTTTAATTATTATTAGCACATAATAACATCTGAGCACTTGTAGACGAAATTGGTGAGAGGGAAAGTCGGTGCTTTTCGAAGAAGTGAACGTGACCTTGAAACCCTGCACATGCCGGGAAACCGCAGAAACTGCCTTGCAAAAACAGTCAACATTTTTTGGGTTACCCAGCTTGGACGAGTTGGTTGCGCAACTAACTCGGATGCTGCAGGGGGCCCTTCGGGGACATCGAGAGGCCTGGTTGACACGCTTCTGCCTCATTGGCAGTGGCTGCAGCTGCCATTCGTCAACTCCATCCTCCGCTGGCGCAGCGGGGGGGGGGGGGGGGCGCGGGTGGGTGGGGCCATCCTCCAGCGGCTGGCGCGAACGGCACGCGGAAGGAATGGAGCGCAAAGAGAAAAAACAAAATCTGTAGCGCTGGCGCCTGAAAAGGGGAAAAGTTCGTCGCAACTTTTGGCCAGCGTCGCAGAAAGGGAGTTCCTCCGTCACCCTCTTGCCAAGGCAGCAGGAACAAGGGTGTTAAAAACAGTTTTGAGGAAACCCGATGGCCCTCAGTCGCCAGGAATGTTTCTTTTTTTAAACTTGGAAGTCCGTCGTTGACTGACGTGTATTTCCTCGCTGCTTGTGATGCGATAAGCACTTGTTGCAAGGCTACACGAAACACCAGCACTTGTCGCAAGGCCCCGGCCCCTTCCCCAACGGACTACTCCTGACAGGTGTCAGTATTAGGGCTGTTTTTAGAAGGTATCATCCCGAAAAAGTGTCATCCGAGAATGCTGGAAACCCATCGCAACCGTTATTTCAAATATTCAACGGTTGCGATGGGTTTATTTTTGACACTCTCCGGATGACACTTACTAAAAACACGCCCTTAAAGACAGTAAAATTAGGAGGTGAAAGCCTTCGAACCACCGACGTTGGACCGCGGGCAGCCATGACCCCACAGATTTGTCTTGAGGTGGAATGCCTGCACAGCTGGCAGCCAGCTGTGCAGCACACAAGCAGTTTCCGCTGCAAGCATATCTTCACACCCATACAGTCTTACTGATGTAGGCAACATTCTTGCCTTGACTAAAACTTGGAAAAGGAAATAGCTTCATGTACCGTTCCAACATCCATTTCTTCCATTGTTTCTCACTTCCATCGTTCTACATACGTTCTAAGAGGGGGGTGGAGTGTGAGGGCATCAAATTGTACCCGAAACCCTAAACCATGACACACAACTCCATAACATAGGAGATGAGCATTGACTAGAGCAAAGAGGTTAGCACCAACAAAAATAACTAAATCACACAACCAACCAAGGGGCACAATTCTAGCCTAAGCTACCTGGAAATCTTGCTATTTTCTTCCCTAGCAGCCTTGTTCGGGCAACCACGCTCACCAAAGCCACCCCCAGGTTCGCAGATTGCATCAGGGCACACACTGCATGTGATGCCAAACCACCCAGATTCCCTACCCTCCTAATCATCACCAAACCCATCAAGTAAAGCATAACAAAATATTTCCCTCCCACAACCATTTTATGCCCTCAGACAACCCCCCCCCCCCCCCCCCCCTCCCCCTCCCCCTCTCTCTCTCTCCCACCAGCTCTTGCACCCCTTCAGTCACCCCCTCTCATCCGCCCACTCCGCACCCTCCCCCTCAGTTGCCCTCGTCCGCATCGTCCTCCGTTGCCAGCGCGCCCTTCTTGAGCTTGGCGCCCACAATGGCGGTGAGGCGGCCCTGGTGCGCCGCCATGTCCAGCTCCAGCTCGCTGGGGTTGCGGCTGCCATCCGCCACGTACGTGCCCGCGCCGTAGGGCGACCCACCGTGCACCTCAGGGTTGAACAGCCCCTGGTACGTGTACCCCACCGGCACGTACAGCATCCCATGGTGCGCCAGCTGGCTGATGGCCGTCAGACTGGGGGAAAGGTTGGGGAGGGGAGGAGGCGGGGCGGGGGGGGCGGCAGGGGAAAGGGGAGGGGGGAATATTGGTGAGCAGCCCCTGGTACATGCACCCCATGGGGACGTACAGCATGCTGTGGTACAGCAGCTGTGAGGCAATGGGGAGGGAGAGGGAAAAGTGGGGATGGGGGCGGGTAGGGGAGGGGAGAGGGCGATGAGCAAGAACCGTGGAGGGGGAGAGGGAGGGCGTTTGAATGAGTGGGTTGAGCGGGTTGACAGGAAGTAACCGAGAACAGCCCCTGGTACGAGTAGTGCACCAAGACCTACAGCATGCCATCGTGGGGGCCAAGAAAAAAACCACCATGCCACTCCAATGCAGCCCTGCTAGCATTTCCCTGGCCGCACCAGACCACCACCACCTCTAAAGCTTCCCGACACACAAGCTCCCAACAGCCCTCGCCGCTCCCTCGCCCCTCTCTCGCCCCTCTCTCACGAGGTGGTCTCCTACCCGCCGCCCTGCGTGCTCGTGCTGAAGAACCCCAGGGGTTTCCCCGAGAGCGCCCCATGCCAAGCACCCACACTCCCCTCCTCCCTCCCCTCGGTTCCTCCCACTACCACCCACGCCACCCCCTGTTCGAACAAAGGCTGCCACTCAATTCCCCACTACCGTTCCAACTTCCCCCGCCACCCGTTCCCCCCACGCCCCACTCACGCGGTGGTCTCCTGCCCGCCGCCCTGAGCCCCCGTGCTGAAGAAGAACCCCACGGGCTTTTTTTTTAGAATTCTCAAAAACACTCTGCGGGCTTCCCTGAGAGCGCCTGCGAGCGCCAGAGGCGTCGAGGAACTGCTTCATCTGCGCGCACATCACGCCGAAGCCGCAAGGGCCCCATGCCAAACACCCACCACTCCCATCCCTCTCCCCCTCCATTTCCACTCACGCTAACCCCTGTGCGCGTAAGCCACCCACTCAACCCCCCCGCCCACCCCCTCACTCCCCAACACCCCACTCACGCAGTGGTCTCCTGCCCGCCGCCCTGCGTGCCCGTGCTAAAGAAGAACCCCGCGGGCTTCCCCGAGAGCGCCTGCGAGCGCCAGAGGCTGCCGGTGGCATCCAGAAACTGCTTCATCTGCGCGCACATCATGCCGAAGCGCGTGGGGAAGCCGAAGATGATGGCGTCCGCCTCGAAGAGCGCCTTGGGCGTGATCTCGGGGATGTCCAGCGGCTTCGCGGGCGCGCCCATCTTCGCGAGAACGGAATCGGGGAGGGTCTCGGGCACCTGGGGGAGGGGGGGGGCGGGGGGGAGGGGGGGGAAGAGCAGGGGGATGGAGTGAGAGGGGATGGGGCGTGACCTCGGGAATGTCCAGCGGCTTGGCGGCCGCGCCCACCTTCGCGAGGACTGCGTCAGGAGGTTGGGGGAAGAGGAGGGGGGGGAGTGAGAGGGGTGCTATCGTAAAAGGGGGGGTGTCCGGCGGCTTGCTCGGTGCGCCCATCTTCGCCAGCACCGCGTCGGGGAGGGTCTCCCGCACCGGGGGGTTGGGGAGGGAGGGGGGGTGGGGCGGTGGGAAGGGTGGGGAAGCGGGGTTGCTCGGCGGTCGGAAGAAGAAGGCTTGCTGGGCGTGCCCATCTTCGTCAGGGCCGCGCCGGGGAGAGCCTCGGGCACCTGGTGGGGAGAAGGGGGGGCGGGGGAAGGTGGGTGGGTGGGTGGGTGGGTGGATCGGTGGATCGGTGGATGGGTGGGTGGGTGAGTGCGAGTGTGAGCGCACCGTGGAATAAACGGTATGGCACGAAGAGGGTATGCCGTACGGCGTAAAAGGGGTTCGGGTATGACACCAAATGAGGGCATGAAGGCTCAGGTGCATGAATGGCACCTGGAAGAGCAAGAGCAGACGCACCTGGAAGAGGAAGCCCTGCGCGCCGTCGACGCTGTCGACGCCCTCCTTCACCTTGTGCGCCATGGTCAGGACGTGCCCGTACATCGAGTAGAAGCTGCCGCACACGATATAACACACATGCCGGGGGTCGGGGCAAAAACGGCAAGCAGGCGAGCAAGCAGACGGTTGTCGGCTGACAAAGTGCGGCATAAAGAGAACCAGCGGCTGAATGTGCTACATTTTTTTATTTTTTTATTTTTTTGGGTGTGGTGTGATGAGTAACCAGGGAAAGCGACAGTACATGGCATCACGGACACGAAAGACTGACTGGAGGCATGTCACGGCATTGCATTGCATGGCATGGCATGGCATGGCATGGCATGGCATGGCATGGCATGGCATGGCATGGCACGGCATGCACGGCATGGCACGGCATGGCACGGCACTGTTTGGCATGGTGGCAGGACCGGCATGGCATGGCAACTTACACAATGTAGACCTTGACGGTGTCCGACGGCGGGGGCACAACTGCAGGCACAGCGGGTGGAAGTGGGGAGGGGTGAAAGGTGTGAGGAAAGGTGTGAGGAAAGGTGTGAGGAAAGGTGTGAGGAAAGCTGTGTAGGATCACCGACACTTGAGCATGGACGGTAAGAGAGCGCGGCACGATCGGACCATGGGAGAGGAGAGAGCGGAGCGAGAGAAAGGATAAACGACACCGAAAACGTCGGCCCAGTGTGCGTGTGTCTGCAGGGCCTGGTGGTTTCTTCGGCTCTTGCAATCCAGAGCCCACCTCCTCTCGTGCCCACTTCCATCGCTCTACGCCCCTAAATCGAACACCAACCAGGACTACCAGCCGAAGAAGTACCTTCTATCAGCCTGCCTTATCCTCCCAACACCCTAATATTCTTAACCCAAGGCAACCCCCTCCCCCGTAGCTTTTCGCGCCTCACATCGCGGCTAAGCCTGTCGACCTAACAGACCCATCCACCACTAGGCTACGCCTGCCACTATTCTTAACCCAAGGCGACCCCACCTTCCGCATGGGCTGTCTCCTCCGCTGCCGCCGCCTCCTCTGCCGCCTTCGCTTCGCCCTTGCCGCCCTCTTCCACCGCCTCCGCCGCCTCCGCCGTCGCCGCCGCCGCCGCCGGCGCAGCAGCAGCTTCCGCCACTGGAGTTTCCGCGGCTACTTCAAGGGCGCTGGAAGATCCGCTCTCAGGAGTCGCCTCAGGGACAGGCTCGGCGGCTGGTGTAACGGAGGAGCCTGGAGCCTCGGAAACAGGCTCGGCGACAGGCTCGAGTTGCGCTGCGGGAGTTTCTCCGGGTGCGGCTGCCTCGGCTGCAGCTACAGCCGTGGGAGCATCCCCGCCAGCAGCCGCTGGCGTGTCGCTGGGAGTCACGGCTGCCTCGGTCGCGGCTGCCTCTGTAGCGGCGGCGGCATCAGCTGGCTCTCCTGCAGCCGCAGCCGGCTCGGCGGTCGTTGCTTCAATCGGAGCTGCCTCTACCGGAGCAGTGACGTCCGCCGCAGCGGCGACAGCGGGAGTTTCTTCTTCCGCCGGAGCTGCAGGCTGGGTGGTTTCCGGGGTAGTCCCTTCCGGAGCCTTCGCCTCAGCCTCCTTAGCTGCGTCGCCACTGGCGGCACCAGCAGGCTCAGCAGCGCTTGCTGCCGGCTCTGCTGCTGCTGCTGGTGCGTCTGCGACTACGGCTGCTGCGGTTGCTGCTGCTGCTGCAGGCTCGGCAGGAGTGGCAGCAGCAGTAGCTGCTGCTGCTGCCTCGGCTGCAGGAGGTTCAGCAGGAGGGACTGCAGCGTCTGCTTTAGCCTTCTTGCCCTTGCTGGGAAAGCAGCCCCCTCCTTTACCCATGGCTTCCTGGACCGATCCGAGGGAGGAATAATATAGGTGCTTGAGTTGCTAAGGGTCTGGCACGCGGTGGGCGCTCAGCGAATTACTAAAAAATGGGACGGAAGTGCGAAGACGTTACGAGAAATGGCGCTCAGCTCGTAACGGGGCTTGGTCATTCAATGAGAGCCCTTGGTGGTACCTCGAGCTACTGTTACTCTAATAGGGGAAGGGATAGAACAAAAAGTCAAGACTGGCTAAGGAGGACGAGGTGGGGAGTCTCTGGACGTTCTGCTTGAGCGTGCGTTCCTGGTGGTGATGGTGGTGGGGCACAAGGGCCTGAAGAAGCAAGATAGGGTGGTAGAACAACGAAGTCGAGCAAGCTGAGCCCAAGGCATGGCTTTTGGTTCGCCGAGCCGCGCCATTGAGAACGGGTTTGGCGGGAGACGTTGTGAGAGGGTGGGCGTGGGCGAAATGAAATACACGTTGCTGAGCCAGGCGCGAAAGTCAAATTCTTGGAGGGAAGCGTCTACACCAAGCTGTAACATGTTACTTTACAGAAATCCAAAGGGGAAGCAAGGATTTCACCACTATGCGGCCTTTGAGAATGAGTAGGAAACGACATGAACTCAAAAGATATATTTTTTAATCAGGTAATCCAGGTAAATATTTATCCTTATCAAACTAAAATGATATTGGGGTAACAGGATCATTCCTACCCATACCTTTCTCGTTAGGCATAAGAATGGTCCTTGAAAATGTAGCGTACTGAGCTTATGATAACAAATGCCCTTTTCTTTGCTTTATGCGCAAGATTCTGCGCCTGTGGGGTTGGGCCACCCGCTATTGGCTATCCGATATCCTGGTAGATTATTACAGTTGAGTAATCTCCTGGTGATGCCACATCGGCTGTCCTCGTAATTATCTTCCTCGATGTGCTGTCTTGTGAATGCAGTGTGCCCTGGTTCTACACCTCACGCGCGACACAGAAGTGTTACAGTACAATATGTGGTTGCATAGCAGGAGGAGGGCCGATGGTGTTGGAATCTGCAGGCTGTTTGTTTGCTGCCTGTTCCAACTTCCAGTACTGGTGGTGTGGTGTGACAGCGCGCCATCAACGAGTAAGTGCCTCTTGGTAACATGATCATGAGGCACGGACGGCTAGAAGCTCAGCGAGTCGCTCTTCTTCGTCACTCCACCACATGAGGTCCCTCTACGCTACTAATTCCCTCCTGACTACCAATACTAGTAGTGGTACTCGTCGCCATGGCTCCCTCTACCTCCACTCTAGCCCCTCCCTTCGCCTCATCGCGCTTCGACGCGCCGCGAATCTTAGGATCTGCCCCGTTCCCATCTCTCATCCATCGACCTTCCTCCTCCTACCATTCTCGCTCGTACTCACCCCATTACCTTTCTCGCCGCGCTCGCCTCGTCCTACACACTCACCGCTCACCTTCCCCCTATCTCCTCCACAGTAGCACCCGCGCCCAGATCCCGCCGCCGTCTCTCGCGCAGCTTACCTCTCGCGCCCGCTCCTTACGCTGTTGCTCCTCCCCCCCCTCCTCCTCCACCCCTCCCCAACATCCAGCATCCCCTCCTTCCCTGCTCTCCTCTCCTCCCTCTCACTCGTCTTCTTCTCCCTCCTCTGCCCCCTTACATTCTCTTTCCGGCGCTATATCCCCATCCGCGCGCCCCCGCGCATCTTCCCCCCTGCTGTCCCCAACCTCTCCGCAGCCCTACCGCATCCGCCATTTCCCCTCCGCCCGCGCGCATCCTCTTCCCCCCGCCGCGCTCCCCGCTTCCGCCCGTAGCGCGCCCAACAGCGGAGCGCGGGCCGTTGCGCCCGTGACCCGGGGCAACGATCAAGCGCAAGGGGCCTCGCGGAAGGTCACCGGGAGCGGGAGGGGGGGATCGGAGCGGTACTGGGTGAGGGAACAGGAGATAGATGAGGACGGGAGCAGCGGCACGGAAAGCACGGGCAGGCGAGGGGAAGGTGGAGGGGGGAGTGGGGCGAATCGCGGGGAAATTTCCGAGCAATGTGACACTAGGGACGTGGCCAGGCGCAACGGCGGGCTGGATGGCGGCGCGGGCGATGCTAGGGACGGCGGAGCGAGGCGCGGTAATGATGGGGCGAACGGGAGTCTAGGGCGTACAGGGTTTCGTGAACGTGCAGATAGGACAAACGAGGCGAGTGGGGAGTCGTCGGGTGCGGGCGGAAGCGGGACCGTTGTGAGAGCGCGCAAGGAGTGGAAGGCGTACGAGGGGGTGAACCGCGCGCAATGGCGGAAGGGCCGGAAGGGGAAGGCGGGGGATGCGGAGGGGGAAGCGGAGGAGGAAGGGGGGTGGGGGGTAGGCGAGGAGAGCGTGGAGCGAGTGGTGGCGCGCATCATGCGGCTGAATTTCTGGGATGACGTGGACGGCGTGCTGAACCAATGGGGCGGGCGCAAGAACCGGAAGCTGTTTCTTCCGCTGATCAAGGCGGTGTCCGCGCGCGGGGACCTGCGCATGGCGCTCAAGGTGTTCGCGTGGATGAAGGCGCAGCGCTGCTACCGCGCGCAGCCGCCGCTCTACTCGCACCTCATGCACCTCGCCGCGCGCTCGCGCAAGGTCAACCGCGCGCGGGAGCTCTTCCGCGAGATGCTGGAGTGGCGGTGAGCCGGGGGGGGGGGAGAAATGGCGGGAGAGGGGGAGGGGCGGTTGGAAGAGGGAGGGGGGAGCGGGGGAACGGGAGGGGTTGAAAGGGAGAGGGGGGGGGGGGGGGGGGGGGGGGGGGGGGGGATGGGGCGTGAAATCAAGAGCTCGTGTGTGACCTGACGTGCTTCGGAGAGAGTGAGGGACCTTTAGGCATCGCTTTATCAGTTGTCCAACCTTGCTCTGAACCCCGGAGCTGTGAACGAGCATCGCCAGAACCACCACACAGCATGTCCCACCCATGTGACAATGGCTGCGTGCTGAAAGGCCCCGGTCTTGCAACCATGTCGCTCGATTGTCCAACTGGTCCCTCCAAGCCTTCCCCTCCCTCCCCTCCCTCCCCCCCATCCCCCCCTTCCCTCCCACGCCTCCCATCCCTCGCGCCCCTCCTTGCCGGTCCTCCGCCAGGTGCAAGCCGGACGTGCACGTGTACATCGCTCTCATGTCCGCGCATGCACGCATTGGCGAGTGGCAGGCTGCTGTCAACACCTTCGACGCCATGCTGCGAGACAAAGTAAGCCACCCCTGTCCATGGCACAAGACAATGGTTGGCTGCCACGCCACCCTCTTTCCCTACCCGTAACCCGTTCATTCGTAACCCCAGCTTTCTCCTTCTCCTCCCCTCTTCCGCTCCCCTTCACACCAACCTTTCACACCAACCTTTCCCAGCTCATGGACCATACTTCACTATCTTCCCCTCCCCTCCCCTTCACCCACCACCCCCCTCTCCGGAACCCTCATCTCCGCCTTCCCCATTTCTCCCCCTCCTTCCCCTTTCAACCCTTCCTGCTCCCCTCTTTCCCCTCCCTACGTTCCTCCTTCCCTCCCCCCCCCCCCCTTGCCCACCCCCACCCCCAGGTGCCCCCGAGCCGCGAGGCGTACAACGCGCTGATCAACGCGTGTGGGTGCACGGGGCAGTGGCAGCAAGCCCTGCTCATGTTCGACCGCATGCAGGCGGACGGCGTGCCCCCGGACATCGTCACGTACAACACCCTCCTCACCGCGCTCAAGAACGGCCAGCAGTTCCAGCAAGCCCTCTCGCTCTTCGCCCGCCTGCGCTCCTTCGGGGTGCGCCCAGACCAGATCTCGCACAACATCGCGCTGTGCTGCCACGCACGGCTCGGGGAGTTCGAGGAGGTCTTAGGGATGTTTGAGCGGATGAAAGGGGCCAAGAGGGGGGCGGTGTGGCGGCCAAATCTGGTGACGTATAACGTGGTGCTGCACGCGCTGGCGGCCAGCGGGCGGCATCGGGACGCGCAGGCGCTGTTTGATAGTATGGTGGCGGAGAGTGGGCGGAAAGGGACAAAGGGGGGCGGCAGTGGCGGGACCAACAACACCCCTGTGGCCGTGGGCATCCAGCCGAATCGAGTCACGTACAACACGCTCCTAGACGCGTACGCGGCGTGGGGCATGCACAGGGAGGCCCGGGCCGTCTTCGACTCCATGCGAAAAGCAGGGATCGAGCCGGACGTGGTCTCATACTCGTCCCTCATCAATGCGTACAGCAAGGCGGGGAGGCCGGACGATGGGGCTGCGGTGCTGGCGCTGATGCGAAGAAGGTTCTGCACGCCCAATGTGGTGACGTTCAACGCGCTGATCGACGCCTTTGGACGGGTGGGGAGGCTGGATGAGGCGCTTGCGGTGAAAGCAGAGATGGAAGCGGTGGGGATGGGTGTGGGGGGGGGGATGGGGATGGGGGTGGGGGTGAATGGGGGAGTGAATGGGGGGGTGGATGGGGGGCCTGGGATGGGTGTGACTGGTGGCAGCGACAGTAGGGGTAGCAGCAGCATTGACAGCAGCAAGAGCAGAGGTACCAGCACCAGCAGCACCAGCAGCACCAGCAGCACCAGCAGCACAACCACAACATCAGAAAACATCGCAGCAGGAAACAGCACACAACCTAAATCAGTGTATCGGGCGCACCCGGACTCACTCCTCGCCCGGCGCGGCACCAAGGTCGCCCCCACCGCAGTCACCTACTCGGCCCTCATCGCCGCATGCGGGCGCGCGGGCCGCCCAGAGCAAGCCGTGCTCCTAGCAGCGGAGGCCGAAGCTGCAGGCGTGCAGCTGAACACCACCACGTACAACGCGCTCCTGTGGGTGCACGCGCGCGCTGGGGACAGCGGCCAGGTGGCGCGGATTGCGGAGCGGATGATGGAGAGAGGAGTGGCGTGGGACGAGATTACGTTCAACGTGTTGGTGGACTATGCTGGGAAGGAGGGGCGCGTGGGGGACGCGGAGGGGCTGTTTGACGAGATGCAGCGCCGGGGCATGAGCGTCACAGTGGAGGCGGCGTCCTCGCTCATGGACGCGTATGCCAAGATGGTGAGTGGTGTGCTGGTGGTGGCGGTGATGCACGGGTGCAGGTGGCGTCCGTCTTGGCTCGTGGATGCCTGTGTGTGCCCCGACACGGTGAGTGGAGGTGGGGCTCTTGAGGTGACGAGATGCAGCGCCGGGGGATGAGCGTCACTGTGGAGGCGGCTTCCACGCTCTTGGATGCCGATGCCGAGATGGTGAGTGGTGTGCTGGTGTGCATTTTTGAGGCGCCTCAAAAATATACTCCTCTCGCCTGGTGGGCATATCTTCCCTTGCTCTCCTCTCTTCCCCGACCCCCCCGCGGCCCCGCCCCCCGCCCCCTTCCCTGCCCGCAGGGTCCTCTGCTATCCATCCGCATACCGCCTCTTGGACCACGGGGTGTTTTTTAGAATTCTCAGAAGCACCTTCCGCGTACAGCCTCTTGGATGGACTGCGGTACCGGGTCTTGGATGGACAGCAGCGCTGGGATGTGCCTCCCCCCCTCCCAAGACCATCACCTTGACCCTCGTTTCTCTCTCTTTGCTCTCCTCCCCCTCCCCCTCCCCTCCCTGAACCCTCTCTCTGCAGGGTCTGCTGCCCTCCGCCTACCATTTGTTGGACCGCATGGCCGTGCTGGGTTGCCCGCCCAACGTCGTCACCTTCACCCTCTGTCCACTCTTCAGCCTCCCCACTCTCGCCTCTCCCCCCCCCTGACCTCCCCTCTCTCCCCCCTCCGTGTTACCTATCCACAGGGTCTGCTTCCCTCCGCCTACCGTCTGCTGGACCGCATGGCCGTGCTGGGATGCCCGCCCAACGTGGTCACCTTCACATGCCTCATGGAGGCCGCTGGCAGGGCAGGTGCGTGCGACCATAGCAGGGCAGGTAGGTGCGTGCGGCCATGGCAGGGCAGGTGTGTGAACCAACTCCCCAAGCACTGCTGCTCTCTGGGAGTATGTCCCGAGTTCACATCCCTCATGGAGGCCACTGGCAGGGCAGGTAGGTGCGCGCGACTGGGGGAGGTCGGGGGGAGGGGGGGATGATTGGGTTGGGATGGGTGGCGGGAAAAGGAGGGTGGTGGGGATGTAAGAAGAGCAGGGAAGAGGTGCCTCAGTGGACTGGATAGTCAGTCAGTCACTCCTTCCCCCTCAACCCGTTCCTCCCCCCTGCCCCCGCCCCGCCCCCGCTCCCGCCCCCGCCCCTGCCCCCTCCCCGCCTCCCAGGAGCGCCTGACGATGCGCAGGCCATATTCCAGCGCATGCGATCGCATCAGCACAGGAGGAGAAGGTGGTCATTGATTTCGCCCCCCTCCCCCCGTCCCCTCCCCGCCTCTCAGGAGCGCCTGACGACGCAGAGGCCATATTCCGGCGCATACAATCGCAGGGGGTAGCGCCGGACGCGGTGGCGGTGGCAGCACTGCTGCGTGCACTCAACGTGTGCGACCGCCATGAGTGCTGTGCTTTCAGGTGGCTGCCCCAGGGCCCAGCCAACCCTGCATGTGCTCACAACTCCCCTTTCCGTCTTCTCTTCCTGCTCCCTCCTTCTCCCCTCCGCTCTCTCCCCGTTCTCTCCCTTCCTGTCCCCCTCCCCTGGTCCCACCCCCCACGACCCCCCATACACCTCCCAGGAGCTCCTGACGACGCAGAGGCCATATTTCAGCGCATGCGATCGCAGGGGGTAGCGCCGGACGCAGTGGCAGTGGCGGCGTTGCTGCGTGCACTCAACGTGTGCGAGCGCCACGAGCGCTGTGTGCAGGTGGGGCGGATGGTGAGGGAGGAGGCGGAGCGCGGGGAGAAGGAGGAGCAGCAACACTCGGCTGCTGCTGCTGCTGGTGTTGCTGCTGCTGCTGCTAGTGCTGGTGGTGACGATTGGAGCGTTGTTAGCAGCAGCAGCAGCAGCAGTGGTGGTGGTGGCGGTGGTGGTGGTGGTGGAGGTGGAGGTGGAGGTGGAGTGGCAGCATTGCGCATGGACGTGTTCTCTGAAGTAGTGTACAACGAGATGCTCGTCGCATGCAACAGGTGAGCTGCCACGGAAAATATTCTCCCCCATCCCACCAGCATGCCCATCCCACCAGCATGCCCATCTCACCAGCATGCCCATCCCACGGCCATGCCCATCACCCATTACACAAATAGGAAACACGTTCCCTCGACGTCCCGTCACTCTTCCCTCTTTCTCTCAAGCCATCATACTCACACTCCCATTTCACACTCCCGGTGCTACTCCCAGCTTCATACACTGATCCCTTATCCGTACCACCCTTCCATCTGCATTCCTCCGCTCGTTCCCTCTACCCGCAGGCTAAGGAATGGAGCAGAGGCTTGGGCGTTATACCAACACATGACAGCAGGACAAGTGCCAGTAGGGGGGGAAGGGGCCGTAGAGGCGGATGGGGCAGGTGCAACCGAGGGGAGTAGGGGCACAGTTCTCTGGAGCAGAAGCAGCAGCAGGAGCAGTGTGACTAGTGCTGGTAATGGCTACAGAAGCTCCAGCAGCAGTGGCAATGGCAGCAACAGCAGCGGCAGTGGCAGAAGCAGCAGCAGCATAAGTAGTGGTTGGAGCAGCGATTCGGATGGGTGGGGGGAGAGAATAGAGGAGTGGAGCGGGTTTAGAGGGATGCAGGAGTGGGAGGAAGGGGAGCGGGGTGGTGCTGCTGGTAATGGCAGCATGGGTAGTGGGATGGAGAGGTGGGGAGGGGAGAGAGCTGATGGGACGAGAGGAGAGGGCAGGTGGGGTGGTGGTGTTGGGGATGGGGGAGTGGAGGATGGTGAAGGAAGGGTGGGAGAGGAGAGATGGGGAGGGTTGGCGCAAAGACAGGGGCAGGGAAGTGGGCATGGGAGTGAATGGTTCGGGGATGATGCAGTGAGGGGTGATGATTCAGCCTCACATCACGACACTGTGGCGGATTCTGTAGTGGCGAGGCCGGAGGGAGCAGGAGCAGGAGCAGGAGGAGGAGAAAGAGAAGGCGAGGGTGGGAAGTGGATGGATAATGGAGGGAGGGGGGAAACGCAGGAAGACACGCCTATGCGGCCTTTCTCCCTGCGCACCTTGAACCTTGTCATCGACGCTCTGGCTCGTGCCGGCATGACGGCTGAAGCGCTGCAGGTGAGTCGTGGGAATGCGCAGAGAGAGAGGTTGATGAGAGCCGCGCTGGTGCTAATGGAGAGACGGGGGAGGGGGAAACGCGGGATGGCATGCCTGTGCCACCTTCCCCCCTGACCTGCGTGTGTTGAACCTTGTGATTGGCACTCTGGCTCGTGCCGGCATGACGGCTGAAGCGCTGCAGGTGAGTCGAAAGGGAATGAGCGAGAGAGGTTTGGTGGCCCTTATTCCCATCGCCATCGGTGGGGCCATGATTGATGTTAACATTTCCAGCAGTTGGCCATGTCCCCATGCAGCCATGTCCCCATGCAGCCATGACCCCATGCAGCCATGACCCCATGCAGCCATGACCCCATGCAGCCATGACCCCATGCAGCCATGACCCCATGCAGCCATGACCCCATGCAGCCATGACCCCATGCAGCCATGATGACCCCCATGCTCCGTCTGTCCCTCCCTCCCTCCCTCCCCTCCTCTCCCCCCTTCCAACCAGGTGCTCCGGGCCATGCCATCGTGTGGTATCGTCCCCTCAGCGCACTCCTTCAACCTTGTGCTCAAGCTGCTGTCTGCCGCATGGTGCTGCTCGCTCATTCCCCTCCCCCCCAACCAGGTGCTCCTGGCCATGCCATCGTGGGGTATCGTCCCCTCGGCGCACTCGTTCAACCTCGTGCTCAAGCCGCTCTCGGCCGCATGGCAGGCAGAGAAATGCATGCAGGTGAGTGCTGTATGGGTGTGCTGCTCTGCGTGCTGCTGCTATGTGTGTGCACGTATCTCATGTGTGCACGTATCTCATGTGTGCACGTATCTCATGTGTGCACGTATCTCATGTGTGCACGTATCTCATGTGTGCACGTATCGCTCTCTGTGCACCATGCATCTGTGCGCCACACAATTGCGGCATCCAGCACAACTCGTTGCATCAACCTCTCCCCCCCTACTTCTCCAATCCAGCCCCCTCACCCCCTCTCCTGCCTTTCTCCCGCCTTTTTCTCCCAATCTTTTGATTCGACTCAACAGTCACCTGTTGCACCCCTCCTTCTCCATCCCCCCATCCCTCCATCCCCCCATCCCTCCATCCCCCCATCCCTCCATCCCCCCATCCCTCCATCCCCCCATCCCTCCATCCCCCCATCCTCCCATCCCCCCATCTCCCTCTTCCCCCTCGTCCCCCCAGCTGCTGGACCACATGGCAGCGTGCGGAGTGGCGCCCAACCTACTCTCCTTCAACCTCGTGCTCGGCTCACTGCTCCACCACACCACGCAGTCCCGCCTCACACTGCCCTCGCTGCACCCCTCCACGCTCTCTCCTCACTCTTCCCATTCAATGCACGCTCCCCACGTTCCCCCGTCCTCGTTACGGCCTGAAGCGCCCACGCCCCAGAGCTCCCAAGGGACTCTCTCCTCCCCTCCCACGCGCTCCTTGGGCTCTGAGGCGTCTGGGGGCACGCCCGCCCAAGCGGCACTGGCACGAGGCACTTTGTCCTCTCGCGGTGCCATGCCGCGGCTGCAGCAGGCACGGGTGCAAGGGGGGGAGGGTGGAGAGGCGGGTGAGTGGGGTGGAGCGAAGGGTGTAGGGGGGGAGTCGGGACGTGGGGAGTTTGAGCAGGAGTGGGAAGAGGAAGAGGGTTGGGAGGGGGAGGAGGGGGGGGAGGAGGAAGAAGAGGAGGAGGAGAGGGAGGAGGAGGAGGAGGAGGAGGAGGAGGAGGAGAAGGAGGAGAAAGGGGAGAAGAGGAGTGGGGAAGGGTGGAGAAGGGCCCCAGAGGTGTATGCGAAGATGCTATACGCAGGGTGAGTGGGGCAGGGTGGGGATGAGGGCTGGTGGGGATGAGGGCTGGTGGGGATGAGGGCAACCCAGCCAACCCTTCTCTCCCACCAACCATGATCTTCTCTCCCGTGTCCTTCCCTTCCTCATGCCCCGTATCCTCCCCCTCCCCCCCCTTCCTCCCCCCTCTTCTTCCCCCCCCTTCCTCCCCCCCCTTCCAAAACACCTGCACACCCCACGCATACAGCTTGCATTCAGCCGTCATGACCCATGTGCACTCTCCTCGCCCTGATATCAAGGCGCTTCAAACCACATACCTGTCCTTGCCTCTCCCCCAAACACGCCCCCAATAGCCCACCAACCTAACACCTCCCCTCCCCCAACCTACCCCCCCCACGCAACCCCCCGCTTCTCTACACACCCCCCAACCCCCATCCCCCATCCCCCAGAGTGCATCTGGAGGTCATGGCTCACCGTTTACTCTCCGCATGCTGCTTTTGACACGTCTCTATTCACTTCCCCCGCTGCCCCTTTCCCCCACACATCTCTCCATCCCCCAGAGTGCATCCGGACGCCATGACCCACCGCACGCTCCTCGCGCTGCTCTCTCGCTCCGGCCAGCACCAGCGGGCGCTGCTGCTGCAGCAGCTGCTGGCCCAGGCCACATCCGGTGCAGGTGGCTTTGCTGCTGCTGGCGCTGCTGCTGGTGGTGCTGGCACTGCTGCTGCTGGTGGGTTGCTTGTGAAGCCGAGAACGCTGGAATGGGCATGTGGTGATGGGGCGGAGGTGAGGGGGGGAGCAGGTGCTGCTGGGAGTGGTGCTGGTGAGGGGAGCGGGAGGGGGGGAGGTGGAGAGGATGGAGATGGTGGCTTCTCCCACCGGAAACAACAGCAGCAGCGGCGGCAGCAAGAGCAACACGAGCAACGTGAGCATCAGCAGCAACAGGGGCCACAGGGGCCACAGGGGCCACGGGGGCCACAGGGGCTTCCAAGGGCTGTATTGGAGTTACTAATGAGTGGTTGATGATGGTGGGTATACCAGTAGGGATGGTCAGGGGGGCCGAAACATGGCAACTGCAGGGGAGGGGAGAGGCAGGTATGGCAAGGCAACTGTATTCTAAGCACATTCCTGCCTGCTGTTCCTGAAATGACGTTCAGCTACGTTGTTATTCCATTCCTCGGACATGGCAACTGAGCTGACTGCGCTTGCACAATACACGCTCTGGAATAGTCACCGGTCACCGGGTACCGCACCAGGACAAGGCAGTGCTGCAGGCAGGGGAGAGGAGCTACTAGCCTACTATGTTGTGCTGACATGCAGCTGTCCCAGGGATCGCATCGCAAACTGTGCAGTAGCATGGATATGGTAGTAGGCTACCTAGTAGCTGGTCCAAGCAAGCCATTGCCTAGGTAGTGGGCTACCTAGTGGCTGGTCCATGCTGTACATTCTAGGGTCGAAACGACTGCACTCTCAACAATTCTGCATGAAGGGATAAGGTTTAGGCTTGGTGCAGAGAAGCAATGAAACCCAGGTGAAGGCCTGCTAGCATTCTGTGTGCCAAACTAGTGTTTGTATGCCATGCCATCTTTTTTGCTTGCCCGTGTCGTGTGTGCTGGTTGAGAAAATTGAGCCCCGCAGGTTGCACCAATTTTATGGTGTCACATAATCACATACCAGTTCCTGATGCTCAACATGGCAGGCCAGACTATCGTTGAAAGCTGCTTGCGTGTTTATTATGGTACAGTGCTGAAAGTGGTCATGGCATAGCGCACAATGCACAGAAACGGGCAGGGCAGGGTGCCTTACGCACTGAAGACACATCACTACCATGTACCACTGCTGCTGCTGTACAAGGTGCTGCTGGTGCTGCTGATGCTAGTGGTGCTAGTGGTGGTGCTGCTGGCACTCTGCTTTCTCCGGCAGGAAAGAGTTGCCAATAATACAAAAATAACCGAATAGCCAAGGTCAGCCACAATACTACCGTATGAGAGATCAAACCCACATTTTTTTGGACTGTATAATCGGCACGGCTACCATCGACTCTGCTGCTCCTACTGCCCCCACGAGTGCTGCTGCTGCTGCTGCTGCTGCTGCTGCTGCTGCTGCTGCTGCTGCTGCTGCTGCTGCTGCTGCTGCTGCTGCTGCTGCTGCTGCTGCTGCTGCTGCTGCTGCTACTGCTGCTGCTGCTGCTGTCTATTCTGCTGCCTGGCGGCCTTATTTGCTCTGGTGGGTACAGAGCGGGAGACGTGGCACATGTGACACACGCCACGTGTGGCCTGGGGCAGGATCTTTATTCGGGGGGGAACACACACGTCATTGCAGCAGCAGATGAGTGGACCAATGCGTGCAGCAGTGCATGCAGTAGCGAACGCAGCAAATGCGGCACTTTTCCTCCTCCTCACTTCCCCCTCACTTCCTCCTCACTTCCTCCTCATATGACCATCCCCACTATGTCTCCCCCCCTCTGCTGTAGGGGCATTTGGGACAAAATCCTCAAAATACGCCTAAGGCACACTTCCTTACCATCCCCATCATCCCCAGCATCCCCAGCATCCCCACCATTCCCATCATCCCCATCATCCCCAGCATTCCCATCATCCCCAGCATCCCCATCATCCCCATCATCCCCATCATCCCCATCATCCCCATCATCCCCATCATCCCCATCATCCCCATCATCCCCATCATCCCCATCATCCCCATCATCCCCATCATCCCCATCATCCCCATCATCCCCATCATCCCCATCATCCCCATCATCCCCATCATCCCCATCATCCCCATCATCCCCATCATCCCCATCATCCCCATCATCCCCATCATCCCCATCATCCCCATCATCCCCATCATCCCCATCATCCCCATCATCCCCATCATCCCCATCATCCCCATCATCCCCATCATCCCCATCATCCCCATCATCCCCATCATCCCCATCATCCCCATCATCCCCATCATCCCCATCATCCCCATCATCCCCATCATCCCCATCATCCCCATCATCCCCATCATCCCCATCATCCCCATCATCCCCAGCATCCCCACCATTCCCGTCATCCTCCCCCTCCTCCCCCTCATCTGACCATCACCGCCATGTCTCTCCTTCTCTGTTCCGCCACGGCCTGGCGGTGCACCGACACCATCCTCGGCGTCACCATCCACGCCTTCTCCCCCATCAGCTCCTTTATATGCGCCACCCGCGCAATCACATTCTTAAACTCCGTATAAAACACCGTCGCGAACACCAGGTACAGCCACCACCAGTTGCCGTGCTTGCGCACCGACCGGCTCCCTCTCAGGAACGCAAACAGGATCTGCACCGGCCCACAGAGGAACGTGAACAGTGTCGTGCACATGTAGATCGCATCCAGCCAGTTTATCCCGCCGAACCCGTTGCTCTTATAGCAGAGAAAGGCGAGAATAGGGAGGATTTGGAGTGACACCCACGGGTAGATCTCCCGCCAGATGAACAGGTGGAACAGCCCCATGCGCTGGAAAGCAGACATGTTCCTACAAGCCATGCCGGAGAAGAAATGCCGCATGGAGACTTGAAACCACCCCTGCGCCCACCGCAACCGCTGGTTCCAAATCTGCCTCAGAGTGGTGGTCGCCAGCTCGGACGACATCAGCCCGGGGTCTGACTTGATCCTCCCTCCGGCTAGTAGCACCCGGATGGAGGAATCTATGTCCTCAGTGAGCATTGACCCATCCATGCCTATCTGCGCCAGTAACCCCGACCGCCAGAACCCGTTCGACCCCCCAAAGAACCCAAACCCGTGAATGATCTCTGACCCGGGATGCCCCACCGCGTAGATGGTCTCAAACTCCACCGCCACAGCCTGTGCCACCCAGTTGTCCTCCCCATTCCGCACCAAGCAGTGCCCCTGCACTATGTCGTATCCGTGGCTGAGCCAGCGCCAGGCCCGCATGAAGGCGTCCGGGTTGGGGCAGTGGTCGGCGTCGAACACCCCCACGAACTCCCCACGGATGAGCTTGCACGCGGCGTTCACGTTCTCTGCCTTGGACCGCGAGTGCACCACACGGTATGCGAGGAAGCGGTCCGGCCGCTGCCGGGCCATCTCGGCTAGAATGGTCTCCATCTCAGGCATGTCGCGCGGCGTGTTGTACGCCAGGATGACCTGGGGGAGTGGGGGGTGGGGGGTGGAGAAGGGGGGAAGGTGGGGGGGAAGAGGGGTTGTAAACGGGGGGCAGGGGTGGGGGGAGGGAAGTGGGGGAAGTGTGGGAGTAGGGGGGATGGATGGATGGATGGTTGGATGGTTTCCATCTCGGGCATGTCGCGCAGGGTGCTGTACCCCAGGATGACCTACGGGGGAGGAGGGGGGAAAGAAGGGGAGGAGGGGAGGGGTGTGGGAATGTGGAAAGTGTGTGGGGGTAGGGGAAGGAGTGCGTCTCCATCTCGGGCATGTCCTGCGGCGTGTTGTATGCCAGGATGACCTGCGGGTGCGGGTGCGGGGGGGAGGAGAGGCTGTAGTGGCGAGTGTGGGGGCGGGGATGAGTGTGGGATTAGCGGAGGAGGGAGGATGCTGGTTTCCATTTCAGGCATGTCGTGGGGGGTGTTGCACGCCAGGATGACCTAGGTGGGGGGGGCGGAGGAGGGGAGGGGGAGGGGGGAGTGGGGGAATGAAGAGAAGTGACGGAATGAAGAGGAGTGGCGGAATGAAGAGGAGTGGCGGAATGAAGAGGAGTGGCGGAATGAAGAGGAGTGGCGGAATGAAGAGGAGTGGCGGAATGAAGAGGAGTGGCGGAATGAAGAGGAGTGGCGGAATGAAGAGGAGTGGCGGAATGAAGAGGAGTGGCGGAATGAAGAGGAGTGGCGGAATGGAGAGGAGTGGCGGAATGAAGAGGAGTGGCGGAATGAAGAGGAGTGGCGGAATGGAGAGGAGTGGCGGAATGAAGAGGAGTGGCGGAATGAAGAGGAGTGGGGGAATGAAGAGGAGTGGGGGAATGAAGAGGAGTGGCGGAATGAACAGGAGTGGGGGAATGAAGAGGAGTGGGGGAATGAAGAGGAGTGGCGGAATGAAGAGGAGTGGCGGAATGAAGAGGAGTGGCGGAATGAACAGGAGTGGCGGAATGAAGAGGAGTGGCGGAATGAAGAGGAGTGGCGGAATGAAGAGGAGTGGCGGAATGAAGAGGAGTGGCGGAATGAAGAGGAGTGGCGGAATGAAGAGGAGTGGCGGAATGAAGAGGAGTGGCGGAATGAAGAGGAGTGGCGGAATGAAGAGGAGTGGCGGAATGAAGAGGAGTGGCGGAATGAAGAGGAGTGGCGGAATGAAGAGGAGTGGCGGAATGAAGAGGAGTGGCGGAATGGAGAGGAGTGGCGGAATGGAGAGGAGTGGCGGAATGGAGAGGTGTGTGTGAGGAGGGGAAGGAGTGCGTCTCCATCTCGGCGTATCCTGCGCCGTGTTGTACGCCGGGATGACCTGCGAAGGGGGGTGGAATAGCGATCGTGGGATGGGGAGGTGTGTGGGAGGAGGGGAGGAGAACGGTGTACACCTCGGGCGTGTCCTGGGGTGTGTTGTAGGGGATGAGGAGGTTGGAGTGGGGTAGGGGTGTGGGAATGGGGAGGTGCGTGAGAGAAGGGGTGTGGGAATGGGGGGTGTGTGGGAGTAGGAGTGTGGGAATGGAAGGTGTGTGGGAGATGGGAAAGAGTGTGCTTCCCTCTCCGGCATGTCGCGCGGCGTGTTGTACGCCAGGATGCCTCGTCCCGTGGGGGATGAGAGGCGGAGTGGGGAAGGAAGGTGGGATTGGGGAGGGGTGTGGAGGGGGTGGTGGGTAGTTGTGGGCGTGGGGAAAAGTGCGTGGGGGAAGGGAAGGACGAGGGAAGTGGGGGGGGGGAAGGGGAGAGAGGGGGAAAATTAGGAGAGGGGAACGAATATGAGGAGGGAATGTGTGAGGGGTTGGTTACGATGTATGGAAAGGAAGAGTTGTTTAGGGTGGTTGGTTGGTTCAGGGGGGTTCTTCCCTAAGCGAGAGAGCAGCGAACCGACAGAAAGCGGCAAGCGGGGGTTTGCGGAGTGTACGTAGGACACCCCCCATTCCCCCCCACCTTCCCCCCCTACCCCCCATCCCCCACCCCCCACCCTTCTCTCCCCCATCCTTAATAAGTTTCCAAAAGCGTCTGTGTGTGAAGATGGGTATACTTGCTCGGTTCTCATTTACCCCCTTAAAAAACCCAACTTTTGAACGAGACTGCCACGTGGCTCACCTGCAGAGGCCCAGGAACTCGACTTGGAGAAACGCCTTGACCAGTGGTCTCCAGGACCGCTCTTAGTGTGCCGTCTTGAGTCGACGGCGTCACTCTGACAGAGCCCGAACCTTTCAACGTGGCTCACCTGCAGCGGCCCGGGGTACTCGACTTGTAGAAACGCCTCGATGGTCTCCAAGATAGTATCCGCCTCATTGGGGAGGTACGCCGCGATGATGGCGGACGCGGGCGGGTACGGCGCGGCGGGCTCGTCGGGCGGATCGCGCGTCAAGAAGAGCGCGAGGAAGCACTCCACATAGACAATAGTCGCCGTCAGAACGAGCATCGAGACGACTGCGACGTAGCAGTAGGGTGTGATGTCGACGCCGAGGCCGGCGTCGCACACGAGGTAGAAGCCGAAGGGCATGACGAGGCCGACGACGAACGTGAGCACGATCTGCAGCGGCGTGCGGAGCTTGTTGACCCACGTCTGATTTTTCGTCGGCTTCGCGCCTCCCATAATAGTACTACTACTGGCGCTTCCGTACTACTAGTATAGTTCGTTCCGCGAATGTAAAGATTAGTACTAACGGTAGCGGTGATACTAATAGGCGGAGTGGAGCGCTGACAGCGACTGTACATGAGGGCTGTAGGGATCGCTCTGCCCGAGACCGCGAGCACGCTAGTAATGATTCTACAACTAAATGAGCTTTTGGCTTTTCTTTACTAGCCAGTACCAGAGGCGCTCTGCTATCCATGGCGAAGTTGTCGTCCAATCCTCATCCTCCGCAAATTTCTCCTCCGATTCGAGCGCCAATCGTCGCTTCGAAGAAAATCCAATAGCTGCTATTAAAAGAAACGGCTAAGGCTTTTTTTTTTCCCTACAAAAAACACTAACGCGGCCCGATCCAGAAATCACCACTGGGACTACTAGAAGACTAGCTAGCACTTGATGACGTGTGTCGGCGGACGACAAGGAGAGGCGGAAATGGTTCGACGTGAATGGAAGCAGACTCGTAACCGCGAAAGGAAAGAGGAAGTTCAATTCCGGGACGCGACAAGGGGCTCCATGGCGGCGCTGGGGCATAGAGGCATGTACGTGTTTGACGGGTTGGTTTGGGTTCGAATTTGGTTGGGAACATGGGTAGGGTAGGGACGGGAGGGAGATGAGTCACAAGAGGTTGGGAGAGGAGGGGGGAGGGGGCAGTGTGAGGAGGGGGCTGGAAGTGAAATTCTGTCTGGATGGATGGATCGATGCATTACTCTCGCGAATCGGAAATCGGGTTGCCTGTGGGCAACAGAGGATGTGTGGGGCCGCGAGCGCGCCTCGGACCGTACAATGGTTTTCACAGGAAGAAAAGGGTCGCGTTGCGAGTAGGTTCGCCGACTTCGCGAAGAAATTGCGATTGGAATATTGCACTGTAACCCTTCCTGGATTTCGCAACTTCCTCCCAGCTTGTGGCACCGTCTCCCTTCCCTTCTGAACTTCCTGAGGTCAACCCGCGACTTCCACTATTCGATTCAGCAGCTCACCCAGATGTGCCACTCGGATTGGACTGGACTGGACATCCTTTCCGTGGATAATTGAGCAGGCTGAAGTGGAGTGTGACACTGTACCCCAGTGGCACAATGTGGCGGAGACGAAATGGCACCAGCTACCCCCTGCGCTGCAACTTCTCGAGTATGGGAAGTGATCGACGAGCCGCTTACGCGAACCCTGCCGAGGCGCTACATGTGGAGCCATGCTGGCATTGGCCACGGGCAACATCGTGCTGTAACACTAACATCCTGCGAAGGCTCGTGATGGATGGCAAAGCATCTTCGCTGGCTCTAAGCGAAGTAGCAGCTGATTAGCATCCTGTTTGTAACAGTAATATTTCAGAGGCCCTATGCAAGAACCAACTCATTCTCACGTCATTATCTGGTTAGTTGAATATCTTTGTTAACTTCATGCAACACTTGTATAAGTGGCACACATCCACACCACATATGCTGTACCATATGTCACTCCATTCACTCATTTGTTTTGCATATGGTGCCATATATTATGAATTAGTATGAGTTCGCATCTATAGCATCGCACCAGGTATAAGGAAATTCCATTTCCTTATCGAATCATCGCTAACATTGCCCACATCCATGAATTTTGGAAGTCCAAGCTCGGCCCGACAAACCAGATCTCGAACCACGTTTTAGACCCCCAAGTCTAAACGTGGAGTCGCGCCCAAAACCTCTGAGCCTTGAGGCACCCAAACCATATTGCGTGTGTTTCGTAGCCCTCATTGAGGTTCTCATGCTAGGCCAGTTGTGCTTGTATTTAGCCATGTGCCTCATCTTTATTCGACACACTTGAATCACTGCCTCTCTATTGCATTACTCGACTCCCATCTGGAGATTATCATAACACTTGGTAATAGTGTCAACATATTTGTATATGTTTTAGGCTAGATAGGTGCATGCTCATAGAGAGTACAACACCTTAGGTTATATTCCCTTGTACCTCATCATTCTGTCAAACATTAGTATATCTAGTGTTTGTATAGACTGTATAGGGTCACCTCTTAGAGAGTACAACCCTTGGATATGTATGCTTGTACCCAGGTTCTCTATTCATTCATCACTTAGTTCTAAGATGGTATCAGCAGTAGGTAGGTCCCGCCGCCCGCCCATGCTTCCGCCCTAGGCCTTAGCCGATCCCGCGCCCGTCCTAGTCGACCCCGCACCCGTCCTAGCTGGCCCCGCGCCCGTCCTAACGGCCCCCGCGCCCGTCCTAGCCGGCCCCGCGCCCGTCCTAACGGCTCCCGCGCCCGTCCTAGTCGGCCCCGCGCCCGTCCTTACCGGCCCCCGCGCCCATCCTACCGGCCCCCGCGCCCGTCCTAGCGGCCCCCCGCGCCCGTCCTAGCGGCCCCCCGCGCCCGTCCTACCGGCTCCTGCGCCCGTCCTAGCCGGCCCTCGCGCCCGTCCTAGCTGGCCCCCGCGCCCGTCCTACAGGCCCCCGCGCCCGCCCTAGCCGGCCCCGCGCCCGTCCCAGGCCCGTCCTATCCGGCCCCGCGCCCGTCCCAGGCTCGGCGTCCGCCGCTACTGGCCCCCCCCGCGCCCGTTCTGCCGACTCCTACGCACGCCCTGCCCGTCGATCTCCGGCCCCGTGCTCACCTTCCCGCCGGACTGCCGCCGATCTGCGTGCGGCCCGCTCTCCGTACCTGCTAGTGCACTGCACCCTCCCTGGTACGGTTCTCCATCACCTTGCACCGCACTGCACCCCCCTGCACTGCACGGCACCGCGCTGCACCGCACTGTACCGTGCTGCACCGCACTGTTCCGCCCTGCACTGCACTCGACCGCATTGCACTGCCTCACCTGGCCCTGCCCTGCACAGTTCCTGATGGCGGCGGAGCTTCATTTCGACACGGAAGGCCAGCCTCTGGAGATCGAGGCCTGGCTAGCCAACCTTCGCCGCCACCTCACTGGTCAGCGGCAGGATGGCCACCCGCTCTCGGCACACCTTGACAGTACGCTTCCCTGCCCAGACCCCCCTGCTGTGCTGCCGGCTGACCCCACACCTGCTGAGCACGAGTCTACTACGGCCGCTGCCCTCGCTCGCTCTGTCTGGCTTTCCCGTGACGCTGTTGCCCAGCTTGCCATTAGCAATGCCCTCCCCCCGTCTAAGCGTCCTCGCTTTAGGTCTATCACCGCCGCCCACGCTTTCTTAGACGCTGTTATCCGGCGCTATTCCGCCCCGCCTGCTGCCTCGGTGGGTCGCCTGATCCTCCCTCTCCTCTTCCCTGACCTAGCGTCGTTCCCCACGGTTGCTGATCTAGCTGCCCACCTCCGCACGATAGATGAGACCTGGTGCGCTGCCTGCACTGACGCACAGCTTAGAGCCCACCAGCCACCCCTTACCTCTACCCTCTACCTGCTTGCCATCCGCCTCCCTGACCGCCTTGCCGCTGCTCGTGACCGCTTCCTTAGCATTCACCCCGGTGACCTCACCCTCACAGACTTTGTAGACACCCTGACTGTTATTGAGACCCGCCACCGCTCTATCACCCAGGCGAGCGGTACTGTGCCGGTCCCTATCTTTCAGGGTTGTGCCCCCGCTCAGTGCACCTTCTCCGATGGTTCTGCAGCTGTGGCTGAGACCGCCACTGCAGCGCAGTTCCGTCCGGGGAAGGGCCCCTGCCCCAAGGCTGGGCGCGGCGGAGGTGGTGGGGGTGCCAGTGGAGGTGGTAGTGGAGTCGGGTCGTCTGGTGGTGGAGTGGACGAGGGGACCCTGCCAGGTCCAGCTGAGCAGCAGCAGCAGCAGCCGCAACAGCAGCAGCAGCCGCACCAGCCGCAGCAGCCGCCGCAAACGAGGCAGGCGAGTGCCCTCCCACCCGGGTGGCCTGGCGCTGGTGGTGGTCGTGCGCGTGGTGGTGTGCCGGGTGGCAGTTCGGGAGGCGTGCGCTGTCAGTACCAGCTCCAGACCGGTCCTCGCTGCGGCTTCGTTTGCGGTAAGATCGGTCATGCCACTGCTCGCTGTTTTCGTCGCCTGGACGACCTGTTTCGTTAGCGTTTCGGACCGTCGCCCGACCTCTCGGACTGGCACAGTTTGCTTAGTCGTAGAGTTCAGATTTTTGACATGGACATGGATGCCATTGTTTCTGCCCTGCATGTGATGTATGCTGATGACTCTAGTGTGCTCTCCTCTTATTACTCCTTGTCGCCTAGTGTAGGTGTGCCTAGCTTAGCCTCCCCTGCTGCGACAAGCGTAGGAGCTTGTGCCTTGTTTAGCCTTGGTGCTTCCGTCGTCGCCCCGTCGCCAGACGCCACTACTTCGCTTTCCTTCACCTTGGACTCTGGCGCTTCCCGGTGTTTCTTCCACGACTCTACTACGCTGACGCCGCTTCCTGTTCCTGCTGCCGTTTCTCTTGCTGACCCCTCCGGCTGTCCCGTTGTCGCTCGCATTTCCACCACCCTTCCCTGTCCGGCGGTTCCTTCGGGCTCTCTCACATGTCTGCATATCCCCTCGTTCTCCAGGAACCTAGTTGGTGTCAGCTGCCTCCAGGACTTTGGCGTCACCACTACGTTCCCTGGTCACGAGCGGTATGCTGTCTGTACCGAGGCCGCCACTGGTGCCCCCCTGTCCACATTCCCCCGGGACCCGGTGTTTGGCCTGTTCACAATGGACACCGTGACCCCCCCGACTGAGGCGCCCCTTCCTGTGGCTACGTCCACACAGGTTGCTGCTGCCTGCTCCTGTCGGTCCCTCACTCACCCGACTCTCCTTTGGCACCACCACCTAGGTCACCCTGCGCTCCCCCGTCTGCGTCACATGTCCCAGCACGGTCTCGTCCTTGGTCTCCCTGGTTCATTCCCCGCTTTTCCCTCCTCCCCCGCCCCACCTTGCACGCCTTGTGTCGAGGGTCGGCTTCGCCGTGCCCCTCACTCCTCCTCGTTTTCCCCTATCGCCGCGCCACTGCAGACCTTGCACATGGACGTCTGGGGCCCCGCCCCCGTCCATGGGCTGCGTCGAGAGCGCTATTTCCTCGTGCTTGTCGACGACTTCATTCGCTACACCACAGTCTTTCCCCTGGTGGGAGAGTACGACCCCGTTATACCACTTGGCCTTTTCTTATTTCCTTCCTCTTTTCATTTCTCTATTTGTCCCATCTCATTTGGTTTCCTATTCTCCATTTCCATTAACCTTTGGTTTATCCTGCTATTATAATTATATCACCGACCAGGCTTGGGATGTACTGGGGGCTATATCTAGCGTAATCGTGCTATAATCCCTTAAAGCCAATAGCTTCGCGTGGCTATACGCAGAGTGATTCTATCTTCTAGAAGGGTCTATTCCCTTAGGATAAGATAAACCTGGTTACCTGATGTACTCTGGAAGTATAAAAGCGCCTTGTACTGATCGATAGTGCAAACTTTCCTCGACACATTCGATCCTGTGACACCTGGAGCACAAGGCTGACGTGCCTAATGCTCTCATCCCCTAGCTTGTCTCTGCCCGTGTCCACCGAGGTCTCCTTGTCCTCGGTCTTCACTCCGACCGTGGTGGCGAGTTTGCCTCAGGTGTCCTTGGTCGCTTCTAT